AAGTTGGGTCAGTTGCCAAACATTTCCAACCGAATGAAACTATATCCCTTAAACTCTAGATACAGCTGTGTACAGTGTACTCTGTGTTCCAGAGATACACCAACACCTGTGTAGGCAGTAGACACTAGTATACAAAGCTAACATTGCTCCAAACCAAAGATATCTACAAAAGGAGGCTCATCCTACTTCCTAATAGTAGAACTTACCAGAATCCTTCAATGACAAAAACAGAGCCATACAAATTGTTGGATCTACAAAACCATAAACCTAGCCTCATGGAGTGATATCTTAAGGTAAACCAAGTGAAACATGAAGTTGTCCTCAAGAACAGACGAGTGACAAATACCGAATCTCCATCTATTCATTACATAAGGTACTGAACAGATTGCCACAGTTGTACATCAAAGTACTTCAGTATAATTGTGTACATCTCCTTAAAGATAAACAAATCAAGACAACATTCCGATCCAAGCTAGGAATTGACCGAATAAACATCTTGATGGTTAGCCTATAGAGTATACTGTAGGTTGTTGGATCCACAATTGTTGGTCTAAAAACAATACAAGTAGGATGTTCTACAGATTAATGGTATCTTCAGATGGCAAGGATATCCATCTGTAAAAGATAGTGACAGTAAAAATAGTATACACTGCTGCATAACAAAAAGTTACTGCATATAGCATATAGAATTGCTCCTAAGATCCACATGATTCCTGACCAAGACCAACCTATCAGTTGCTCTAACCAAGTTTGCAGTTGACAGACTAGTGGCCTAGTGGTCTATTAAACTGATTAGTCCATCTGTTAGATAGAATCAAAAGCACATATCCTAAGTACTATACATAATGTAAAGTAGTACTACAAGTGTGTGCAGTAGCCTGTTGATTTACATGATTCATGAAGTGGACCATGTCTAGCAGTAGCTCTATCAAGATTTGCTGTTTGCAGGCAAATAGCATCTTAAAAAGCATAGGCTATCCATCTGTCTAAAAGTATAAACAGCATATATCACAAAAAGACTGTTCATCCAAGAACTAATGTAAATGTTTACAATAGGTTGTAGGATACACCTGATTCCTGACCTAGAAACATATCTTTCAGTTGCTCCATTCAGGTTTTAAGTTGACAGACTAAAGGTAACTTTAACTGACTAGTTCCTCCATCTGTCTAAAAGTATCAAAAGTACATATATAGCATTAGCATATATTCTTGAAGTATAAAGTGATGCGCAAGTGCAATATGCAACTATGTACAGTAGCTTGTTGGGTCAACATAAAGCTTGAACTGGAACGAGCCTTTCCGTTGCTCTATTCAGGTTGAAGTAGACATACTAGTGACATCTATTTGCAAAAAAAAGTACAACCTATACCCTAAGAGCCAAACAGTAATCAACAATAAACTTTAAGTAAAGTTGAATTAAAGTTGTACTTCAATGAACGAATAGTTTAATGGATCACAGAAAAAAAAAATTACTTTGAGTGAAACCATTAAGCAAATCAAGCCAAACTGCTTCATATATGTTGAACAGTTGAACAGATAACCATACTCACTAAAGTAGTAACTTTTGGGAGTGATGATGCAAGGAGTAGTATATAGATCAATCTCTAATAGTCAATACTGGTCCTAGCCTCAAAAAGCCACAGTTAAATGCTTAAAGATGTAATGAGGAATATACAAAAAGCATCTATCCAACCATGCTAATGTAGGTTATATCTCATCTATTGCTGGATGAGCAATATAAAACTAAATATAAAAAAAATTAAGCCATTTGAATAATATACCCATGATACATACCAGTAAGCTTAAAAGTAATGGGTTTCCAAAAAGGACTCTTTAAGATGTAAAGTAAGAGTGAAGTTACTCTGTCTTAATCTGATATAAATAGATAAAAACTATATCCCTACCAAAGTAAAAGCTCTGTAGATTCTTATGAAAAGACATAATGTATGACGTTGACACAAACTGTCATAGTTGTTTGATCTCCAATCTAATAACAGAAAAATAATAATACTTCTGATATATTAATTAGCCTATAAATGGAGAACCAAATATAGACTTCAAAAGACTAAACTTGAAGTAAATCTCAAAAATCTCTACTTGCAGAGTGAAAAACTAAGCTAACATAAGGGAAAAAACATACAGTCTGAGAACACCTCTTGTGATGGAGGACTGTACAATGCTAGATGTAAATTAAGAGGAAAATACTTATCATTCCTTAATTTCATGCTGTAGCAGAAAAGTGAAATAAACCAGAATGATTGAACAAATAATGTATCCAAAGTAATGTGAAGTTAAACAGAAGTTTACTAACCTAGTAAAGCAACATCAGTATGTGTTGCTACATAGTAGTAGAATAAGTGTCATACCCAAAGGGTAAAACTCCTTAAGCAAGCAAGAAACATGGTTAATATAAGAAGCCTTATAATATCTCTTAACAGAATTGTCAAAAATTAAACTTCTGCCAAAAACAGAGATTGGTTGACTGCTGATGTATTCTAAACACTAAAAGTGTTAGTTACAACGAAAAATATTACAAAAACATGAATGAAATAGATGAGGTCTATGACGCATTCACTAATAAATGTAACTCTTCTTATAACATAGGAATAAGACTGGTTACTCAGAAAAACTGAATAAAACCAAAAAACACTATGTACCACTAACTACAGAAGTGTACAGATGTGGAAGTACTTCATACAAAGAGAGGCTACTCTGGAGTATGAAAACAAAACAAAACCATCAACTCACTCTAAAGCAAGCTATCTGGAAATGATATTGTTGTTGAAAAGCTTATCTCAGCTGGAGAAATGCAAGTGAAAACAAACTGCTTACTCCAAACATTGGATAGACACAAAAGTATATGAGTGAATAAAAACACTCATGAACTACTAGGTCAAAATTAAATAAGAATTACACCATAAGAGTGTAAATCTAAAGGATTATTACACTGTCCTAATACTCTAAACAATAAAAATGTGTAAAGAGTGAAAGGAGTAAAGGTCACTTTTAATAAAGGACAAGAGTGTACCTGCAGTGTTCCTAGAAAAACCACAACCTACATTAAAGAATACAATGTAGGTCAAAAATAAGTTCAACTAGTCTGAACTCATTATCCTTCAACCAGCATCTATCAGCTTTCTCATAAGAGAATGCTAGCTAAGATGTGGACATGAAAAATAGCATCCACTGGAGGAAAAAATAAAATAACTGACCTTCATCTTGCATCAAGTGCACCTTAGGCAACCACAAAAGATCGAGCTAAACAGAAGAGTGACTTATGAAGCTCTGTCTAAGTTACTTCGGTCCAAAGCCTTCTCTATATTCCGGCTTTGAGGAGGAAGATTGAGCTGCCTTAGTATTATAAATATTGTAAATCATTGTGTCACACGCACAGTAAATATGGCATAATAATATGAAATATACCTTTATGTATAGATTTGAAGAACATCAGCTCACATCCCCGTCTGAATCTATTGTTATATTTGATTTCTTTAAGCGAGAATAATTTCAAATGTTATTCACGTCCAGAACCGGAAGCCATTTTTAGCTACAGCGAGAAAATTTCACCATGTGTCAAACTCCGAAATGAAATTTTAAAATATCTAAATCCAGACAAGCAACGCTTCATCCTAAATATGATTAATATTCTTAAAAATATTTATAAAATTTATTAAAAATGAGTTCTAGGTGCGTGTAGGTGCGTGTAGCACAGTACATACGAAATCAATGAAGTTTCGTCTAGCTGTAAGCTAGAGACTCGAGTAATGTCTAAGTATCTTCTGTAACTGTAGGAGTCTAGAGACTCCTGGGCATCTTCAGTGACTCAATAGTTGCCATGCAACATTGTTCACTATCTGTCCTAAAGGTCTGCTACTCTGCTTTCTAGGGATCTGTGACAGTCCATAGAAGAGACTTTTTCCTATTCTAGTTCAAAATATTGAATGATTAGATTCTAATAACCTTCTTGGTAACCAATAATCATGCCTATATCTGCCAGCAATTTGCCTATTAAATAACAAACTTCTAGCAAACACAGTCACTAAGTTAGACTCATGAAAAAATAACCATCCTTCCAGTTCAGACGAGTACTATTTATGAAGGCATGCACATATATTGGTATATATAGGGGTGTAAGGTCTTGTATTTTGATATTTTTAGACTCGTCCATTTTTCCAAATTAGGGGTATAAGCATAAGTCATGGAATAGGTTGGATTGTATGTAATTCTGCCGCTACTTGGGAAACTGAAACCGGAAGTAACTCAACTAAGTCAAATCGCGAATATAATCGTGGTTTTTCATGGCCCACTCGAGTGGAGATTTTCAGGCGAGTCCGACCACTACCCAGCAATACTTAAAATCTTTACTAGATAATAGGGAATGTACCTTCCTGCCATCAGAAGCATGGCAGTTGACATTTAAAGGGGTGATAAGGGATGCCATTTTTTCCTCATTCCCGCTCCTACTGGACTCCAACAGCTCATCTTTCTTGTAGTCACCTGTAATAATACGACAGCAATTAACATCTAAAATTCTACAGTTTTATCCCTAGATATATTCTAGTCAGGGAACATGTTGTGTCAAATATGATAGTCGATTGCTGGGTACAAATATTGGCAGTTACAAATTATCTAAATATCTGTTTTAATAAATTTTTAATCATAATTCTGTCCAATTAAGGCTTCGGTCACATTTGCTCTACGGCAGGCATCTGTAGCATCACAAAATCGTTATAGAAAATCTCTATCAGACTACTTATCCCTATATTTTTATGCTGCATATCTCTTTCAATTTTGGGAAGCTATGGCCGCTGTACGGTTGCTGTAGAGCAAATGTGACTAAGGCTTAGCTTGTAGGTAGATTCATCCATGTCACATGAAATACATGTGAGATATTGAAAAGAAATGATTTTTCAGGTAAAAAGCTAACATTTCTATTCAAATATGAGTCAAATATCAGGATTACATATAAAATACTCCTGATAAGTAAACTTACCTGTAAGTACTGGCTTTGTGAGGGGATCTGATAAATCTAAGGCAGTCTTGCCATCTGTGTTTCTTATGCTAGGGTCACCTCCATGTTGCAACAGAACTAAAATACACAGAGACAGACAAATACTGTAATATGTGGGAAAATGTGGTGTATAATGTACTTCTACATAAAAACATAGAGACAATCACATCAAAATCTCAAGATTATATATAGAGAAGCCAGGTAAATCATACTTATTTTGAGTTTTTCAACTTGTGTTACTTCTTATTTATAAACAAGTATGTTAAAAATATAGAGAAATACGATTTTGTCAATTTTATACCCCTGTGTTATAGAAAAAAATGGACCTAAAAATCATTAAAAAATCGGTTGAAAGTCAGGTCCTTCTAGAACAATATAGAACAAAAATAACAGCGATAATCTGAGATTGACTACGACGGGAAACTGGTTGGTGGTTTCTCCCATAAAATGACTTGATAATATCACAGTATTCATTTGTCAGAAAATTGTTGATGAAGGGACAAACAGATGAATGATTCCATAGTCCAAACATGCGAGCCAAAAAAGTAAATGTGCCAAATTTTCTGATTTGAACCTGCACATACCTATACAGACATCTATCTTTCCTTTAATGGCAGCTTCATGAAGAGGAGTATAATTCCAGTTGTCTCTTGAATTTGCATCAGCCCCATGGCGGAGCAACAGCTGGACGACTTCAGCATGACCAAATGAGCAGGCATTGTGTAGTGGTATGAGACCTCCGTCATCTCTTGCGTGGACACTTGCCCCACACTGAAGCAGGTGCTCAACCACATCCTTACGTCCAAAGCCTATAAACACGGAATACATGGAGTACAATAGAGTCAGCCAAAAGAGTTCTAATATTGCACCAAACCGAGTATTTAATAGGATTAATATCCTTGCCGAAGTTGGTCTCATTCTTATTTTTTTATTTTTAAAAACTCAGATGCTAGTAGGTAGTTACCAGTTTCACGACCAGGTGGCTCATTCGGGTCAGATAACATGGCAGGTATATAGAAAGTTCCCTTGAACTTGAATATTCATCAGTTTTAGTGGTTCATGTTTCACGTTACCCTTGCGTATCTGATAGTCATACAAATTAAAATATGTCCAATAAAAGAAAATATTATCTTTCAAATACAAGAAAAGATATTTCACTTTTTTTGTGATTTAATAACACGGGGTCTATGGGGAATCTCCCCAACCAAGAACTCACATTTAAAAAAAATTTAATTTTCAAAGTTGATGAACTCTTTTTAAAACAACATTTTTTGATGTAATTTTACATGGATATTTCAAATATGATATCAGTTTGACTTAATTTTTAATTTTTAATGACATTAATCAAGAATGTTTCTACTCGCATCTAGTCTATTCATATTCACCACCTTGTACAAACCATACAACAAATTACAAATTTGTTTTTTCAGCTACTTTATGTAGCGAAGGTAACTTAGGTTCATAAATTTAATGGTTGGGCAATTAGGGTAAGGTTTTATGATTCAATTTGAGATAAATATATGATTGCTAAGACCAAGGGATCAGTCAATTTATTTAGGTTTATCATTGAAATTACTAAAGTCTATCACAGAAATACCCTCATAGGCTAAGCAAATGGGCTCATAAAAGGCCCAAACATCCCAAAAATTGCAACAGTTTTTAAATTAGTCTTATATTATGCATTGATATCAGTTGAAAAACATATCAAAAGTATAGAAAAATGTATGCAGTGGACAAATATGAAATTTCACTTCCTAGGTACCCCCTACAACCCTACCCCAAAATTGAGTATTGGTAGGAAACAATTTTTTCTTCCCAAATGGAATACTTTAGTCAAGAATTCAAGCTTTATTATGATAGATAACATATTCACAAATAATTAAAATATTATTTTAATCATTTTTGAGACCAGTAATTGGTCATTTGACCCCAAAGTATAACAAAATAGGCCACAAAACAGGCATGTTATCACATATCTATTTAGATATTTTAGGATCAGTTTGTCAAAAAAACATGAAAAAAATCATGGTGTTACATATTTATATGAACTTCATATTTGGAGAGTGTCAGAATTCTAACGTGTATACTTAGGAAGAAAAAAATTACTTCATTTTCATAGTTTTGCCCCACCCACTATAGGGGAGACTATAGTTTTGATGACTAACTCCAACAATGCATCACATTTGTGTTAGAGTTGACATCTAAATCGTTTATATAGGCTTGTAATCATCTAAAATACAAGTTTTGTGAAGGTTTATACCTTATTAGTATGAAAAATAGGAATTATTAGTTGCACCAGGTGAAATGTTAAGGTAACCTCACTTTTATTTGATGAATAATTACAAATCACCACCCTGATATTAGGGTATTGGGGTATTTGATAACTGCTATACTAGGCTTATCTAAATAAATAATGTAAGTTGTAGTTTCTGTGCAATTTAATATTGTTTAAATTAAAATTATTAATTACAATCCGCAATTACAAAATTTGCATATATTTAAATCCATCAGATAAATAAATCATCACATAGGAGTACATTACTATGGAACTATCAATTGGATGTATAATGCTGTAGAAACGAATTTATGGTTAATAACGGAATTTAAACTGATAGAGCACATTTAAATCTCAGATATCTGGGGAGTCTTTCATTAATATAATTTCAGTGCGTAGGAATGATGGTAATTCTGTCTGTCAGGTTGGAAAACATTGAGTGTGCATGTGCTACATTCAGAATCGGATGCAGATATTGTGATTGTGAAAACTGTAATCCAAAGTGTCCAAACCTCAAATACAGTACTCATACAGATCTCCTTGTGTACACAAACTTCAACATTTTCCTCAAACCTGAACCAAAAGCAGTAACCCAAGAAACAAAATGTTGGAATATAAATGAAATAAGATTGTCTTTTGTTTATCTTTTCTGGGGTGTGACACCGCATTCTGGTTATGCCTGGCATAGACAAGAAGCTATCATTGAGGCAGATAAAAAAGATAGAGTTCTTGAGAAAACAAGCGGTTGTTTTTAAATTACCAAATGGGTCGTTTCGGTAACAAAATGTCTAAACGTCGAAGGTACGATTTTTCTTTTTTCTTTTTTTTCACGCGTTATAGGCAGAATCCCCACGATGTTTTTTCTTACAATCGTGATCGTGTATCAGTATCATATGTTTTAGAAAATGTACATGTTTGCGCAAAAATAGCTCAGAAGACAACAGAATTGTTGATTTAATTCCTTACTAAGTTACATAAACGATTTGGGTCAAAAGTGCAGATCTTAACTGTTTATCGAAATACCGTTTATGTAACTAAAGTGAGGAATTAACTCGACGATTCTGTTGTCTTCTGAACTATTTGTTCGCAAATATGTACATTTTTTAAACACATAATACTGATACAATTTTGTGATAACAATGTTGTGGAAATTCTGCCTACAACGTGTGAAATAAGGAAAAAAGAAAAATCATACCTTCGATGTTCCGACATTTTGTTACAACGTAATTAAGTGGAAACCAGTGAAATGCAAGCAACTCTGTCATTGCAGAGGAACATGCTCTTTTGTCAATTTAAAGTGGAAAAATGGTGAAACCCTAACTGAACTTAGGCTTCAAAAATTCTATTAAAAGAGAGCAGCAAGATCTGAATTATTGCAGCCATGTGTTCTTCCTCCAATTTCTGATGCTGCGGAATACCACAGTTATAGAGTGTACCATCAGATCCAGGAGTGGGAAGGAAATAAACTTCCTCCATTATAATTGGGCTGGGAAATAAGCAACGAAGCTTTTGTACCAATTGCCTAAATGCAGCTCCCCTCTCTCAGAGATCATCCATTGTGTGTGTAAGGCAGATTGTACTTCTATGAGATGTACTAGCAGAAAAATGGAATAATTGTTCTATGGCATGTAAGGTATGCAAAGGTATTTGTGCAAATACCTCCATTACTGATTATGAAAATAATGATGACTAAATAATGAACACTGGCGGATCTGGGGGCCGCCCCCCCCCCTTGGGTTACCCTTTGCATTCGTTTGACTTCACTCCTTAAAAGAGAGCTTCGTCTTCGTCTGTAGTTTAACTAGACTCTGCACGCAGGGTACCCTTGGGTGGGCCCAGAAAAAAATAGGGCCCGAAAAAAGCCTTAAGGCCCCGAAAAGTGGGCCTTTTTGGTCATTAGTGGGCCTTTTAAGGCCTTATTTTTTAATTACAGGCCACATTTTGAAGATAATGGGCCTCAATGTTTCAAAATTTAGGGTTTTAGGGGCCCAAATTTTTTTTCCGCGCAAGCCCAGATGTTTTTTTCTCAGACCTGAAATTTGCCCCCCCTTGTTGGTTCCCAGATCCACCCTTAATGAAGTTTGGTGATAGACAAGTTTGTAACTGATTGTTGCCATATATGACGGTTAAGATTACAAAATTAAGGCAGCTTTTTGACAATGAACATAACGTAATCGAACCCTGTATAAAGACCAGGGATTTACTTTGTGTTACACTAGTTAACTCAGTAGGATTTATTAACGTAGAAACCTTTTTCTCATTAATTATTGAATTTCATCTTGGAATCCAATTCTTCAGTTGAACTTCTTCATTTCATTTCTCAATATCACTGTGTGGTTAAGAACACCTTAGTCAAAAGTAACAATTTTTCCTTAATACAGGGCGAGCCAAAAAGGTAACCCAAAGAAATCTTAATAACTCAGTCCAATCATCCTGCATGAGTTGAGTCTTGGTCAATGTATTATCAGTCTACCCAATCTCAGTGGTCTATCTCTAGTGGTCACGATTTTATGGCCATTTTATACCATGCCATGAAATATGGGTGTCATGCCTGGAGGCCAACTTGAACGTATCGCGCGTAGTTGTTCAAATCAAGAGCATAGAAATCTTGTGTTATGGCTCTCATCTTCATTCTTATCTCTTGTTTTAATGTTTCAAGTGTTGCTAGTATAGAAGAAAGGCCCACAGATAAAAAAAACTGGACTTGGCATTGATGTCCAGTCAGTTAGGCACATTTCGATATTTTGAGCACATTTTGTAAATGGCCATAAAATCGTGACTATTAAGGATAGATCAATGACACTAAGCAGAATGAAAGAACATTGAACAAGGTAATTGTGCCAAATATGATGTCAAACCCATGCTGAATGACTGGGTTATTAACAAACATTTGGTTGGGTTACCTCTTTTGGCTCATACTGTATTAATAAACTGATGTCAGGGACAGGGATATTTAACATTTTGTTGCCTTTTCAAGGATATTTTTAGACCACTGATTCTACTTAATTTCTAACAAATCGTTCTCTGTTCTACCAGAAAAGGTATATTATATATCAAATTGAATTTAAAGGGAAAAAACATTTGATAATTTAGCAGTTATCAACTAAAAGTAGGGCTTCCCCTATATTTAACCTGGCATTTGCTGTTTTTTTAACTTTTTTTACACAATCCTTTCCTGAAAACATCAAAAAACTGATTTCAGGACAAAATAAGCCTTTACAAATAATTTAGTTGTGCTATTGAGTTCAAATATGACATATCTTTGAAGTAATTAATCAAAAGTAAGGTCACCCCAAAAGTGGGTGTGGTAAAATATTGAAATTTCAAATATTATTTTCACCCTTAATATTCACTTAATGACCCTGATACTTATCAAATACAATGGTCAGGTGTACAATAACCTCCTTGATTTTTTTCATGCAATTCAGATAAATTGATACAGAAATAGATACATTGTTAAATTAAATTCGGGCTATTTGATGGCCTATTTTCGGATAATTGGGGCTAGAAATGCCAATTTTTGCACTCAAATAGTTGGTTAACAATTTTTAGTTGCTCTTATGTCAGTAAACTATCATAATATTACTCGTTTAGTTGACAAGAGCATTCTATTTTGAAATAAAAAAATATTTACAATCCCATACTCAAATTTGGAGGGGGGTACCTAGAATGTGACATTTCATATTTGTCCACTGCATATATTTTTCTATATTTTTGATATGTTTTTCAACTGGTATCAATATACAATATAAGCCTAATTTAAAAACTGTTGCAATTTTTGGGATGTTAAACTTCCATTTGCCTAGCCTATCAGGAGAAAATGGTCGGTCTACATTATCCAAGATGCTGATGAAAACATTTGGTAAAATTAAGTTTTTAACCTTCAATAAAGTGAAAAGTGGAAATGGAGATCACTAAAAATTAATAACCACTTCTTCTGAAAGAAAACAGGTAATGATTCAGAAACATTTGGAGTGAATATCCACTAAAACTTCGCTAGTTTTGAGCCCCTTGTCCCGTTTGCGAAAATGCTGCCTTGTGTTCCGAGTTCCGATACAGTTTCAGGTAAAAGTCCCATTGCTACTGGCAAGACACTTCAACACAGGGTTCATACACCTTTTTCAAAATGAAATTCCCTGACATTTCCAGGCAAAAAAGGAAACTTCCAGATCTAGCTTTGCTTGCACAGCCTCCTAAAGTCTCAAACAGCTGTATTATTTAAAGACAAGATTTACATTTATTAGAGGGAAGAAATTTTCGTTTTTGATCGCAATATTTACGTGTTATATTGAAGTTATTTCAACCGTCAAATTCCTCCATTTATTGGTACTTCCGGGCCAGTCAAACGGGGAATGCCCTTTTAAATCCAACTGCCATCTTGAAAAGTGATGGAATCTCTCTCGATGAAAAAGAATAATGTTCCCGTTCTGCCGATAAACCCAGATAATTGTGGATTCAACTACACGAAAAGAATGCTAAAATACCAAAGAATCTATTGAAGTAGGTATCTCAAGTGTAAGAGGCATAAAAATTCTCCCATGTTGTAATCGTACAGGTTGGAGACTACAGAAGAGTTTCCCATAGGTGGCCATTATAACATTTTACCCTGTATCTTATTAACGACTAGTATCCAAGCCTAGTGCAACATACCACAGTGTTCGAGAGACTCGCCTAGCCTGCTATAAAAATCTTACCAGGGGTTGTCCACCGAATTTTTGAGATAAATAAACTTGAAGACACTAACCCCCTCTATCGTCAGATTTCTCGGAGAATTCTGGTAAAACCACCAAGGTCAAAATCACTCCGCTGCCAGCTTAAAATGAGATTTCCCACTGAACTTTGACATGTTTTCAGATAAATTAGGACCTACCTTATAAATATTTAGTCCCGATTCACTTCCCAAACACTAGATGGCGCTCAAATGGGGTAGGGAAGGAGAAAATGACTTTTTATGCAGAAAACCTAATCACTAACGGTAACTGCTAGGACTATATACTCAGGACTATATCCACAGGAAAAGATTAAGACGTTCTCGGGACTATAGTCGTGAAATGGGCTGTAGATCTAGTTTCTTTTTGGGTTGTCAGTTTTGGATGTTCTACTTTTGCTTTGTGCCTGATTCTTCTCATATATCTATTGATCTTATTACAAATGGGGACTGAATATGCCTCGGGATTATAATATTTCTCGATTTCTCTTCATTTTTCAATTTTCCATTGATTTTGCCAGATTTTTTTTACCTGCAGCGAAATGTAGAGGCGAACTTTTCCTTCCTGCTGTGTCTTTGGCGTTAACATTACTGGTATTTACGAGCTTCTTGACCTTAACTAAGTCCCCATTTTTACAGGCTTCAAATAACTCTCTACCAGCTTCAGAAATCAATGGAGAAGATGGTTCTTGAACCAAGGCTCTCCGAATTCCTGTCGCCATTTTGATGATCTCGCAAGTTCTCACTGAAATCCCGCAAAATCCCGTTGGCGGTAAGTTAAAATGAAAAAAAGAAAATGATCAGTATTATCGAGAACTAGAGGTAATAGAAGCATTACGTTCACAAAACTGAAGATGGATGATATATTCGAAAGTACGGAAAGTACTAGTGACGGTGAAGAAGAAGAGATTTCAGCAGCTGAAGTTCTCCAAAAGTTAGAAGAAGTGAGTAATTTTTCAAGTGGGTGATAATATATAGGCCTAGATCTATTATATATCTGATATTGCTACATTGGATATAGTCCTGAGTAAGGACATTAGCGGTTACCGTTAGTGATTTGGTTTGGCTAGGCGAGTCTCTCCCGAACACTGTGGTATGTTGCACTAGGCTTGGATACATGGGAAACTCTACTGTGGTCTTCAACCATTGAACATAAAGGGGCCATAAAGAATTACTACAGTGGGGGACAAAAATAAAACTCGAAGTTCAAAAGTTGTCACAATGAGCTAAATTCCAAGTTTCGTGTCTCAAACTCTCCCAAGCGGTAGAAAAATAATTCCCGTTCACTAAAAGTAGCACAATAAATGAATCCAAAGCTTCATACATGTACCTGCAAATGATGGATAAATTCCTACCAAATCGAACGAATGTTTTCATGAATCGCCATGTTTGTTATCCAAGGACGATTGACTCCCAGAATGCAGCATCAGTTACCTTATTGACTCGTGACAGGTTTCAAAATGGCGGAACGGGATTTTGAAAGCTGGCGCGTGTCATGTTGCATTCTGGGAGCCAAATTCTCTGTTGTGGCACAATCGGGGGACAAAATCACCTCAACATTTGAAGAGTCGGCATTAACATATGAATATCCACTTCAACTTTTTAAGTTCTTATTGTCAGTTCTTAGTCGGTTTTCAGTCAGGGGGTGCGATTGTGGCATAAACAAGCCAACAAATTAAGATTTAACTTGAATTTTATGAAAATTTGCGCAACTAATAATATTCTTTCAAAATTGAGCTAGAAGCTTCAAATAAAAAGCATTTTAAAGCTCTTTTCCTCTTGCATATCATGCTCATATTTCACAGATGGCAGAATTTTTCTGAGGAGATACATTCTAAAGAAATACAAAGTGAGGCAGACTTCTTGGAAAAAAATGGATATAATTTCACTTCCTGTTTTTGGAAGTCCGATATCTCTACTAGTACTATCATAATACTTCTCCTTATAAAACCTGCACCATTGTTTTTTGCGGTCTTTTTATAACAAATTAACTCTATTCTTGGTCATAATTGAGCCTCGTGATACTGAATAAACAGCAAAATGTTTGAAAAACTTACTTGTTCCACTAGTATTGAAATTCTTGATCGATTGAAACCAATTTTCCTCAACGTATAACTTGACAATAATATAGAAACACCTACTCTCAAATGATTCCACATAACATTTGGCGTTAAATGTTGATTTATGATAGTTAATTTTAGCTGTAATAAACATGGTTATTTTAATTGATTTTTGAAATACATGTATATTTTTGTGTTCACCATCTGTATCTGAATACGAAATTGTTGTCAAATAGATTTGCTTAACATTGGGATTTGCATGATTGTGATTTGGACCAATGGGATTCTGACCAATGGGGTAACCCCATTAAACTAAATTCTTGTGATTTCAGGCATGGTTAAATGAAAAGTTCTCTCCAGAACTGTTGGAAACAAAGACTGAAATTGTTGAGTGCATGATGGACCAAATAAAGGAAATGGAGGAAAATATATCCAGAGCGAAAAAGGGAGATTTTAAAGTCAGTGTCCATAGAATGGAGGTACGTTTAGCAATTTATTGCTTAAATAAAGGCCTATAAATAAATACCTACAACTCTGATGATTATGAATGCCTCCAATTTGCCATGCTGTTTTACAGAATTTACAATATTACAGTGTATATTATATTATTTACTTATATTACTTACTGATCCTTTAAAGAATCATGAGAAGTCTCTTATCAAAATTGTACTATGCACTTTTGGATGTTTAATTCAACTTTACTGAATACTAATTTCAATATTTAATTGCAGCTTGACAGAATCCGGTTTATTCTTAGCAGCTATTTAAGAACACGGTTAGAAAAAGTAAGTTCTTTTTTCTTCTGAATCCTCCCAAAGGATAAAATAGTAAAACATATTGATATCGTGAAGTAAATAAATGGATCACTAACATTGATTGACTTTCTAAAGAATATTTGGGAGGGGTCAAATTGAGAAGATTTTAAGTAATTACTACATGGTAACCTTTTAAGTTAGAGAATAGGAACTTTCTGGTGTTGATTAACCACATTTCATACCTCTATATGGTGCCTTCTGAGCATTTCAAGTTAATGTTTTTTCAAAATATTTTACAAAATAGCTTTTTTCTTTTTTGTGGGACGGGGTTGATCACACCCATCCCACTCCCCCTGGCTACGCCCATGTGTAGGTGCATTATCAGGTGTTTCATTAGCAGCAGGCAACAGGTGATTTTATCCGGTTGTTTTCACAAAATCGCCTGTTGTTTTTAGGGATTTTTCAACTTTTCCATGTTAAATTTATGATTTCCATTAATTTGCCTGTTGTTTTCATTTACGGTATGTTGCCTGTTGTGAGAAATTCTAGTGAAACCCCTGATATTGAGCATGCCTTTTTACTGATGTTACCTGTTGGGGAATACTGGTAGGCTATATCTTTTTCTTTTTTTGCCGCATGCATGGTGTGACATAGACCAAGCAGAGAGTTTGGAATATAACAGTGATGTTATAAATGTATCTGCTTGCAGATAGAGAAGAATACGCAGTACATTCTGGAACAGGAGTCTAACAGACCAGAGACAGATGCTCCACATCTCTCACCAGAAGAATATGCATTTGCCAAAGAGTGAGTCCTTTGTACTGAAGATTTTATCATTTTTATTTAAGAATTGCACTATTGAATTGTAGGGTTACTTAAAAATGGACCTTTTAGAAAATAGAAAATAGACTTACCGTATTCTCTGTAATTAGAGCTTGGGCGTTCAGACAAGTCCCTCAGACAAGTGCCCATATATCAAAGAAGTCAAACAAGGAATGATTTAGTTCTAAAATTAAGACTTATTTTTGAGAAGATTGAAGAACAAATAAGTCAAATAATTGGCTGGTATGAAAATTGAAGAAGTCACATCAACATTGTTAATTTTGTAATCTTTGATTTGACTCTTTACTATGGCATAGTTGATTTTCTCATTGTAGATTTCAGGACCACAATGAGAGCCACTATAAACAAATAGCCCTGCGCCATATGCCTCCCAATCTACAGACTCTTGATCCAAAACTTGCAAGTAAGTGTGATAATGTACTCTTGTGGCTTGTTTTATCACACTTGTTGTTGTCTTCTCTTTTTGCATATATAGTTTAGTTTATTCAACTATATAGTTTAAAATAAAAAAAATGAAAACCTCCAGCTTTGTGCTAATTCTGTTTGCTATATTTTTTTCAGTGGTAAGACCAAACCTTGATAGTTATGTTTTTCTTCGAGTAAACCAGAATACAGAAGGTGTGTTAGTAGATGAAGAAACCATTGAAGCAAGGTTGGTGTATTAAGTTGTCAATTACTGTAAACTGCTTTGATTTGGCAGTATTTAATTTGGCGGGATTTTCATTTTCAAAAAAGTGGGGTGACTTAATTAATCCGCCAAATTAAAACAGCCATCAAATTAAAGCAATTTACACTAACTCTTGATCAAAAAGAAATAAACAGTTCTCCACTCAGGAAATGTTGCTGGATCAGACAGCATTGCTAGTAATATTGAAATAGAACATGATTCTCATTACTGTTTTTCCACATATCAAGTGAATGAAATCCAATTCTAAAACCAAGAACCTGGAAATGTTCTGTTGAGGTTTGTATTCACATTTTTCTCATACTGTATAACGAGGAAATAATGATAAAAATGAAACAATATTTTTCTATTTTCCAATTCAGGGAAGAAATCATAGATCTGGAGAAAGGAAACCAACACATCATAAAATATCGTCCTGTTGCTCCATTGGTCAATTCTGCAGCTGTGGCTTTGATTTAGTACTTCAACAGCTGTGATATTAATTCAGTACCAACATCTGCAGCTGTCATATTGATTTAGTACTAACTTCTGGAGCTGTGACATCGATTTGATACCAATTACCAAATGTACTGAATATCTACTCAGACATTGTAATGCTTTTATTGGAATACATGAAACACTTGGAATGTTGGAGGGACATTTGAATCATGTGGATTTAAATAGAGAATTATGCTCTAAAAGTGAAAATAACTCAATTTGTGGCATATCATTAAAGCACATGGCCCCAAGAATATACTGATATATGACTATTTGTGTTGAACATATGAACACCAAGCCTGGGATATACTGAATATGGCTACCTATGTGGAACATATATAGACACTTGGCCTTGGACATATGCACAGTAGTGTCGATTTGGCTTGTGAACACTTGTGTTCCTTAAACATTTAGGCTGTAATGGCTATGGCTGCAATGTGATAAACTAGTACATGAACACGAGTGCTCACTCTTGGTTACATGAGAACTTGTGTGATGGTGCATGTAAAATGTTTCCTGGCAGATGGAGCATGCTAGTTATTGTATGCAGATGGAAATCAGAGTTCTTCAAATTGAGGGTGAGGAAATTGGGTTTATCCTTGATCCGTTGTAACATTTCAAGAGTAAATTATTAATCTTTAGTATTGCACCAAGTCCCTGTACTGCCCCATTTCCGCTATGATATCACAGTGATGGAGTATGGAGGGAGTTCAGGAGCTTAAGGCAAGACTACCATGAAAATTGATTGAAATTCTCTACAACTTAAAAGTTTTCTCAGTACATCTATGTAGTCTCGCATCAAACCATTGTGCCCCCCTCCCCCAGTTCTCTCTTAAACATAACATTTTCATTGGGATAATTGATAGTAAGAGGGATAGGCGGAAACTTGATACAAGACTAAATGTGTAACATTCCAACTGAATTGTAGAGAACTCAGATTTCATATGTACCAGTCCCATGTCCTAGCCAGAATCTGAGAAAATGATAAGACATTTTAGTAAACGAAAATGGTATGTAATATTACATAAAATATGATAAACCGAAAAATGAAAATGAAAATGAATTTTATTTCAATGAAAATGAATTTTATTTCAATGAAAATGAATTTTATTGCATAAAATGTGATAAAACAAAAATGAAACACAGGGATTTTAAAACTTCTTCATCATTGGCAAAAAGACATGCAATATATGCTATATATGATATGCAATTGTAAATGCTGTAAAACTATGTACACCTACAAATACATGTACCTTTCTTTTAAAGAAAGATGGCATCACAAAATGTCTGCTATTTTATGTTTACAATATTAGGTACTTCTTCAGATTTGAAATGAATCGTATTTCATGTACTGCAACTGAAGTTTGAAATTGATATCCAAAATGCAAAGCATATTTATCTGGGAATAAGCCTTATATTCTTGAAAAACATTCTTGTGTCAGTTCATGTAAAGGAAAAATCGAGCTGTTTTTCATGATGTCCTGAGATGATTTATGTTTTGCTTTCTAAATATCTAATATAATCCGTTCAGCCTAATACTGTGTCTGGTAATACATGTTAATGCTAGAAATCAGGACTGAATGTGTATTTTTGATATTTCCTGATCTGATTATGTCTAGTATACCATTTTGAGAACACTGCCACATCAAAATATTAAATGGGATCTTGAAACATTTTAAAATGACTCCTCCCTTAGGACTTTATGTGCAGTTAGCCATGAAGCTCAGTTCAATTGTGGTAGGAGAGATGAAATTGTATAGTAACCAGTGTACATCCAACAGATTTTTGTATAACAAAACCAAGTTGCATCCTTTATGAATATCTCTTAGTGATCACCTTGTTTGTGTTCTTCATTAACTCTTGGTAAGCGAAGTCTAAGCTCAAAGTGACCCAGTCAGTATATAGTGATGAACGTGATAAACTTGCGAAAAAATATACTGAATTATTAATTGCAGTTACGGCATTAAACAATATTTATCTTTATTACCTTTATAAAAAAAGAGATACGATAAGGGATGGAGTCCAAATATTAACCACAGTTGTGAAAAGATTTGTTATGCATTTAAGGCCTATGCCCCCCCCTCAATTTCAGGGGTTGCAAGAGTGTGATGCATGCCTAAAAATATTTTTTCATTATTATGTCACAAGTAAACCTATATTATTATTTTACCCCTCCCAAGCTGAATTAAATATTTTTCCCCAAATTGATAGTCTGACACCATCCCTTGTTATACATATCCTAAACTTTTGTAAACATTTGATGAATTGTTATTTATTTGTATGACCTTCATCCATGTACTCTTGAGAGGTAAATACTAAAAATGTAGGTCAGTTTGAATGTACAGGATGACCCAAAATTCCACTCTCTTAGTCTTGAATAACTTTCTCAATAGTATTTTTCTTCCAATATATTTGTGTAAATGCTAACGCTGCAACTCCAATATTTTTGTGTAATGCTCACATTGCAACTCCAATATTTTTGTGTAATGCTCACATTGCAACTCCAATATTTTTCTGTAAATGCTCACATTGCAAGTCCAATATTTTGTGTAAATACTCACATTGCAACTGAGGTATTTAGAGAAATAATGTCTCTAGCACCAAATTGTTCAAAATGCAATATCAGCAATCTGTATTAATTTCAGTTTATTATCAAATAGTCAAGTCAGTGATCATTTACGCTGTTTCTTTAAAAAACAGTGTACTGTAAAATCTGTCTAAGTGAACACCTCTCTCTTGTGAACACCTGTGTTTAGTGAACAACACTTCAAGACACATTCTACATTGACTCCTGTATAAATACCCTCTGTAGTGAACACCTACCTCCAGTGAACGCTTTTTGTGGCTCCACAGGGGTTCATTGTATACAGGTTTTACTGTAAATATACCTAATTTTTGATTTTAAAGTAGTCCACAAATTACTCAAACAATTTTTTAAAAATCATAACATTTATAACATATGGTTCCTCTCCCTAATCTGCAGATGCCATGTGAGAACACTATTGTTTGCTCCATAAAACACTGTCTAGTAAAGGATATTCAAGAAAAATCATAGGTTTTCATATTCGTTTGGTCACCCTGTATATGACATCCTGGAGACCATGTAGACAAAACATGCACCATGCTATACTGGCCTATTTAGTAACATGAGCAACATGCATGATCACCTGGTAGGCAAACACTAAACATGATGATGAAACTCCTGCTTGGGATATTATGTTTAATACATACGTGTTTTTTCAGAATTACATAGAAATATTCTATGTTATATCACACATTATTTGGATCTCATTAAAAAGATTAAAAGCCCATCAATTTATAGGGGTTAAAGACAGCAGTTAAAACAAGAGAGAAGCAGCTGGCATAGATATAACACAAATATTAACATCCAAATCTGAAATCATTACTACATGTACTAGTAATCACAGGTTTAGTTTACTAGATCTTGTTAATCTAAAACCGATGTGAGTGGAGCAGTTAGAAATGTTGAAAAATTAATCTGTTTTGGTAATGGGTAATGGTTGTATGTTTAACCAAGTACATAGGCCCGTGGCCAGGAGTTGCCAATGGGGGTTCACTTTTTTCAGAATGGTGAAAAACTGCATGATTTTGAAAGAATTTTTGGCCAGGGGGATTACTAGAACACCTACGGCCCTGATATATAATATCTTCCCCTGACATTTATCTCTTTCCATGAATGTATTGGGCCTTAATTTGCTCTCTTTTCTATTCTCTCTTACATCTATCAAATCTCATGCCCTTTCTGTCACCTGTTCCATTAATTTCCCTCCCCATCGCATCTTATTTAATTGACATTTCTTCATTTTTTCACTGCCACAAGTGGTGACATTTTTTTTTTTTAATTATAGTCTTCAACTTTTTTTGTGGACAGTGTTCAGTGGCTGGCATCTGTTACAAATGTGTTTGGTGGTAGGTGTCTGTAACAAATGACAGGTGGTGACAATTTGCATGTTAATGCCCCGTTGCATTGTATGAGTTCATAATCTCTTAACATATAAATTCCGTCAATAAAAAAAACCATTGGAATGTAGCTTCATGAACTTATTGACGAGCAGATTGTGATTTAACATTAAGATTATGATCCTTTTAAGAGTGTGTCAACATAGTGTCAATGGGAATTTAGACATAGAATTCAAATATGCCATCAAATTGAAGAAACTGTTGGTATTTAATGATTAAAATGAAGGTCTCCTAAAATCACATGAAAACAATACTTTAATGAGATCTCAAAGCTATGTGGAAACTCTTCTATTATGATAAAAATCCGTTTTGAATAATATTATCAAATTGTATTCATTTAAAATGTTTTCATTATTTTTGAGTTATTTCTTTAGATTATACATGAAAAGTACAAATTAAGATCTTTATTGGAATAAATTGTGTAAAGGAAGCATTTTTTCCCAAATTTTGAAATCCCAAGGCAATACTTTCTTATGTTTATCATATATGGGAAGTTGCTTACCCTTTTTATATCTTCTTGGAATCTCTCAATATCTTACTTATATATACCCTTTTAAATTTCAATTGGGAATCTGCACTGTGCGCTCATTAGAGGGAATACAGTATTTTTAATCTATGAATTAAGAAGTCCTAGATATCTCATATCACTGGCGGATTAGGGGGGGGGGGGCCTGGGGCCCAATAAAAATTTTGGGGCAAAAAAGGCCTTCAGGCCCCAAAAAGTGGGCCTTTTTGGTCATAACTGGGCCTTTTAAGGCCTTATTTTTTAATTTCAGGCCAAATTTTGAAGAAAATGGGCTCCAAAATTTTGGGATTTTAGGGGCCAAAATTTTTTTCTATAACTTGAAATTTGCCCCCCCCCCCTTTTGATTTCCAGATCCGCCCCTGAATATTGTATACCTGTATACCTGTATACCATTTCTTCTGGAAGAAGGAAGAATCCTATATTATCCAGATCTTGTTATATGTAAGGTCTTACTAAGTGGGAAAAAGGTGGGGTGGGGGTTGTTTTCTTGAAAGCTCACTGGACATGGGTTAAAGGGGCTGTCATCTAGTTGTAGTGGTACTTTAGGTTTTTTTAAGTGTGTATGAAATAATAAAAATTAAGAATAATGAAATAAATACAGATGGATGTGATGATGAAGTATCAGAATGAACTCAAACATGCACAAGCAGCATGTTGGTACAGTTGTATGTGTGGATTAGGGATTACAGGAGAGGTTTGTAGATGTACCGGTAGGCTACCTTTTACTTCCTTCAGAATTTCTGAGTTCAGCTGCTAATTGGTCATTTCTGATTTTTCCATCCCACCAGAAATGCATAATTTACAGAGCGGTTGCGCTATAATGTAAGCGAAAATGAATCTCTTTTGAAAAGGGTAAACGTAAGCCAATTAGATTTCATGAATTACTTTTTTCGATAATAAGGCCAATGTCTTTCAACTATTCATCCGTGTTGCCTTATTTATCCGGAGGGCATGCTATCACGTGTATCAGCTGATCACGAGTCTGACGAAATGTTGAACTAAACTTTAGACCCCTTAAACGCATGACTATAACATATTGTGGTAAAATTTCCCGTCTCTGTATTTCGTTTGAATGGGAGGGGCCTTTATTATTGAATAATATGTCTGTGGATCACGTGTGAGCCGGCGTAATGGCCCGAATGATCTCCTTCCTGATTGGTCCGATAAAACAGTCGAGCGCTGATTGGCTAGAACCGATACAATCATGCACGGAAATGACGTCAACTATTATAATCTCAGTAAATTTTCAATGAATATGTACCACTCTCGATTCTATCATGATAATTTACTAAAGAAGCCAAACATCAAAGAGGACGTTTTTAGACAAACGCTAGTCTACTAAAGAAGAACAACACATATACACTCGAAGGAATCAGTTATAACAAACTCCTTAGGGCACAGTGAGTGAACAAATAATGATCGTAAAAACTGAAATTGGAAAATAATTCAGGAAATCGATTTTTGAAGGAGACTCAAGGACAAACGTTATGCTTCAGGTTGAAAACACTGTTAGGCAGCCCCTGTGTAAAATGCCAGTGGATTATACTTCATATTTGTTGTCGTCAAGCCCACCAGGATTTGATTCTATCTACACACTTAGTCAGCATTTCAGGGGCACGGGATTTTTCGATGATGAAAGGCCCCATCAAAGATTAAAAAACAACTCCATGAAGCCCATTATTGTAAAATCTGAACAATTATTGGAGAACGAAGAAGTCGAAGAGCCAGGAGATCTTGGTTATTCTAGTCAACCCGTCTCTCCTACTAGTCTTAGTACACCTTCGCCATCAATGGGGAAGAAACAGGTCACGTTTGCCGACGATAAAGGCCTTGCTTTAGTTGCAGTGCGTGTTATCGAAGAGTCCCCAAAAGATCCCCCAAACATTAATCCTGATACTCTAGCGAGCATAACCAAGGGTGCCATAGCGACAGTCGCTGATATCCCCCCTCTGAAATTGGACTTTGTACAACCAGCATCAGACTACTTGGCTTTCAGATCAAAGCTACAGGAAAAATGTGTTTCGTTGGAGAATGCCATCCTAAACAACTATAACCTCATGGGAACTATAAAATTGAAAAATATTTCCTTTGAAAAAAAAGTGTTTATACGTCTCACGATAGATTCGTGGGAAACATCAAAAGATATTCGAGCAAAATATGTGAAATGTGCGGATTCAAGCGGTGGAATCGATACATTTTCATTTGAGACTGATATCCCTCCCAACCACAAAATTGACAAAACAATTGAATTTTGCGTTTGCTTCAAAACTGAAAATGAAGAGTTTTGGGACAGTAATGGTGGTTGTAATTACAAAATTGCAGCTGCCGATTGGCGAGAACTTAACAAAAAAACTGGAAGCTCAAATACAACAGATCTTAACTTCAAAGGTACTTGGACAGAATTTGCTGGATGGAGCAACATAGATACTGAAGTACCATACTATTAACTCTCATTTACATTTTTCACATATTCTGAATTCTAAGTGAAAACTGAATGAATTGTATAAGTTTGAAAATAGTTGATCTCTGAGCTCAATTACTGGAAACCTCTCTATGGTGCAATTACTTGATATGTAGCCTACATTGACAGTGTTTTGTTCAACAGGAATAAACAGATTTTCAAACATTAAGATAAACTTTCGAAGTTTACCTTAGCATAGTAGTACTTAGTTTTGTCATTATCACTTCAGACATTTTTAAAGTTAATTTGTGAATTTATAATTAAAGTACTTCACTCCATACAATGTTATGATTCACTGTTGAGTGGAAGTCTAATGCTGTGTTAATGTACTTAAAAAATCAATAAGATTATCTGTCTAGCTGCATTACCTCATATTATTATCGTTTCCAGTATTGTTTATTCAGTTTACTATCTAATTATTTGCAATGGTTTAAGATCATGGTGTTTGTGCATGAACACTGCTGCATTACCTGAACAACTGATCAAGGGTCAGTTCAGGACACCCCTAGTCTATGTTACCTATGTGGTCTTGGCCATGCTCCTGTGCAAATGCCATGACCTCAGAAAACCTTAAATCCAACTACACAACCTTTGAATGTTATCAAATCAGTATTAACAATTTGTTCATTTCTTATAATATTCTCTCAGGATTTCTTTGAATCATTGTCTTTCATTAATTAACATTTATTATGTTCTTCAACATTTTGTACATTTATAAAGGAATGAATGTAGATATGTTAATATTTGCAGTAGCTTAATGATATTCTTGCAATAATCTCTTCAGCTGAAGCAATGAACAAATTGCACACAATTAAAGACATGGGAACATTTGTGTTTATATATATACTGTATGCGTATTGCCCGACAGTCAATGAATTTATCATATATTCCGAGTATTAATCGTAATCTTGTTTTGTTATATGTGTGCTGCAAAAGTTAAAATACATAAGCCCTATACTCAAGAAAGCTATAGGCTATATTTACTAAAAATGACTGATTCTGCTTGAAAAGAAAAAATGTATATATTTTTGTACTGAAGCATGTATAAAGGGTGCAAAAATCATTACTTAACATCCCAGAGGGTGTGGCTTGTTGCTATGTAATATGGTGCCACTTAGCAACTACTACACCTCTGGTATTATTGATGTTAATTAATGATTTTTATGGTTTTGATTGCAGTCATATTGACATTAGCTTAGCTGCATCACATCAAAATGGATGTATATTTTTAAATGTGTTTTACCAAAGCTTAGCCTTAAAGCATGCAACAGATTGCATTGTACAATATCTGCTATTGGTGTTATTGGAATGCAGTTATTTGCTGTCGGACATCTGAATGATAAATAATGTCATTTGTCTAGCCTTCGCATTCATATATCTACCTATATATTTAAAGATAAGTGGTTGACCGTGATTACCCTTGAAAAACTATGTTTAATAAGAGTGTTAGTCAGTGTGTCACTGACACAAGTTTTAAGCGATAAAGCTCATGTATGAACTCTGAATATGGTGGTTATAAAACTATCTGGTGTGATTGGGAGGGATGTCACTCAAAAATTAATAATGAAGATATATTTGATTTAAAAAATATTTATCCTTCACTTATAAATTAAGTGGAATCGAATTATAATTTATAATTTTAAATTAGTTTTCGATTTTATTTTATATTAATATTTGAGTAACACTCTATTCCTTGAATGTGGTTATGAATTTATATTTTTAACCAATGTGTTGATATTTTATTGACAAAGTCAGTTGTTTCACAAAGGTGCATATATAACTAAACACATGGAAAAGTGTAAGATTTTAAATCTGATATGTATACACATGTACTGTAGTACAATATTATATTTGATTTGTTTCTGGAGTTAATAGATTCAAAATATTTGCATAAGACTACATACACATATATTTTGTTCAATTATTTTAATTACTAGTACTCATATTGGGGGGTCCCACATGGTCCATTGACATTTTTAATTGCACATTACATGTTAGGGGTCCATTTAATTTTAATTGTGCTGGTTAGACACTGAGCAGACTTGTGCAGAAGTCCCCAATATAAATCTATGGTTCATTTCCCATTGATCACATTTTCTTGGAGCTGCCCAATACAATAATTCAGTATTTTTCATTTTGTATGCAATAAAACCTAATTATATGTAAACACACTTGGGAGTGGGACTGAGCAAAAATATGATAATCATAGAAAGATGGATTTTTACATGAGAAGGAATAAAAATGGTACCCTTAAATATATACAAGAGGTTGACCTACCAATCTATTCCTTACTATCTCAAATACAATATCTCCCAAAAGATTTAAAATATGTTATAAATTGGTGAAGTTATAAATAATGGATTCAAAGTGCAAAAATGGGTGAAAAAAGTTTAAATTCTCCTAAATAATAAGAATGGTAACCATTCTTAGAGAAAAATAATACATTATTGTAAAAATCTTTAGTTTTCCTGAAATAAAGTGTGCACTTTGGGGATTCTAAAATTGAAACAATTTTTTTAGGCTGCTCCCTTGATCTGATTCTCTCTTTAACTTTGTTTTTCCACGAGTTGATACTTGGACACCATCCCTTACTTACTTCACTTAATCAAATTCATTTATACAACATGAACTGGACCATGTATCCATCATGTGCCCACTGCATGACTGCTCCATGACACAAACATTAGTTTGGTTCCTCTGCAAACAACATCCTCTTTACAAAAAATGTTTATATACTAAGTACTACCCATAGCCAGATGGCGTGTGCAGGATATAAGTGATATTCTTTTATTTTGTTATTTTTTATTACCTTGATACAGTAAAAATTGTAAACAGACAAAACTAGCCTTTGATATGGCCTTGTAAACAATACAAACAAAACCTGGCATAAACCTGTATACAGGAACATGTATGTTATGTCTAGATTTAACTGAATTTCAAAGTGGATGTCAACATGGCTGTGAGTGAGATAAAGTATAGACATGTAAACTGTGATTATTTTCAAACTAATTTTTTCTTTCTTTTTGGCTATATATTTATATAATTTCATGTCCTATTCATTTTATTCCACATTTATGTTATTTAGTCTGATAGTTGTAATTACTTATCACATCATTCTCTTTGCAAACTATAACAAGGGACTGTAAGTTGAACTCTCACAATGTTTACCTTACATTTCTAGCTTTTTCTGATCAATAAATGTATATTCTAGACACTGTATATCCAAGACAGCCTTCAGCTGCTTTTTATGTGGAGATATAGATTACAGGCCTAAAACAGCTACTTGAGTTCATTGCCCTCTCTACTCACAAAAACTAACATTAGAAGAGCAGTCAAACAGACAGACATTAGTGGCATGTTGTTTTTAGAAAACAGCTAACTGAGGAGAAGATTTCATTTATCATTTTATGATGCTGTCAGACATCTATTGAGACTTTAGCAACACACAACTGAGCTGTATTTTATCTTTTCAGCCCCCATCCAAACAAAATATGCTATAGTATACAGTGTAGTCAGAAAACACATTACTATGTTGAAATTAAAAACTCTGTGGACAATATGCAAATAAGCATCTTAGACCAAATCTAATTTCCAAATATCAAATTCATATACAGCATAAACAGTTAAAAATTTAAAACCCCAAAAATGTTTTGGCTTTACTCATAGTTCAAGACTGTGGTGATAAATCTTAAAACTTCAACAAACTGATAAAAGTAATAAATAAGAAATGTTTGTGTTCATGGTTTACAAGTTTCTACAAATGTCATATATCAACAATATTTATGAACTTTGCTCATGCAGTTATTTTTATTGACTTGTGCCAGTTTTTCTATTTATAACACAGGTGTGTAAACAATGAATAGTCTAGAAACACACAGTGAGCATTCTGTATGTGAAAAGTTTTTGTTCTATTAACTGTTAACTCAAATATAACTTTCATGTATGTTGATGATGCAGACTGAGGAACAATTGGTCTCGTTTTTTTTTTGAAGAGGAATAATAACACTGTACTGGCTTTCATAGTCATATATTTGTTGTTATTTGTTATTATTTAGATATTTATTTTTATCATTCTACAAACATGAAATAACAACATCTGGGCGAACATTCTTACCTAGTATGGATTTCAAGGTTAAGATAGACCACTGACACTAGTAAGAGTTGCATGTTTTTGTTTATGTTGTATCATATGGGGTGTGGGAACTTGGAGCACCATCTTTGCTTGTTTAGGTTCAGGCACATTGTTAATTGCCCTATGTCGCTTTAATTTAGTTTAACACTGCATTAAAAAGATCCCAAAGCAAAGAAAGAGTGCAAAGACAAATAAAATCAATACACTTTTATATGGTATCATTTTTGCTTCTTTATTCATTAAATTCAAATATATTTGATATATGAAATATTTACATTCGCTAAATCGTTTTTCCATTCGGTAAAAACGCTTATATGTTTGTTTGTTACAGCAAATTAAGTTTTCAAAATAGCCAATCACTTAATACTATGTGCATTAAATTACATATTTCATTCGCTAAATGATATGTTTTTTGTGTAAAGTGTTATGGTATTCCTTAAGAATAACACATTATATGCACATTATTGAATTTCTATTTGAACCCTACCGAAATAAGTTTGCCCATATTTACCAAATGGTTTATTTTTCTATGACTTAGTTAATGCATTTTACCGAAAGCTAATTTGCTATTTACTGAATGCAATAAAGAAATATTTGATAACTTTAGTTGTTGTTCGATATTTTGTCATGTGACCTCGAGATTTGCAAAATGGCCGCGCAGCTATTCTACATCGTTCAAATATATCATGTGACTGAAAGTTTTATAAAGTATCGAAAAATAACGAAATTTATCGAATGTGGCATTCCGTATTTACCGAATATAAATAATTTAAATACCGAATGTACAAATAATTGAATTATAATGTGAATGCCAACACAAAGAACAAGTGAAACTATTTAGCGATTATAAATTGTATAGATTATTACATTCGATAAAATAATAATAAAAATATTCGATAGATTGGGTAAAGGTTTGGTAAATTCAATTGTTTGTTTTATTTGGTATTTATGGAATATTTAATGTACTGAATAAAGAAGCAGTTTAAACACCTTACTTTTAACTATAGCTAATAATGTCTAAGTTGGTAAGTCTTGTATAAACAGAATAAACTGAGAATTTGGGAGACATGATGAAGGAAACAGACATTCCAAACAGAGCATACAGGCCCGTAGCCAGGATTTGCCAAGGGGGGTTCACTTTTGAAATGTTCCAGGGGGGTTCACTTTTGACAATTTTGGTTCAAAAATGGCCAAACTCACTTAAAATGTGCTCAGAATTACAGTTGGGGACAAAAATAAATGACAGGTCGATTTTCGATCACCATTTCCTAATTATGGTGGTCTGAAAGCCCATAATTTCCAATATTGTCTAGATACATATCCCTTAAAATTTGTATATTTTACATTTTGTATAATCTCATCCACTGATTTATGGCCTCTTGTAAATTCTCTTATTATTTTTAACATGGGAAATCCTCACTTCAGCAAATCCACCTGTCATTTATTTATGTCCCCAACTGTATGAAAAACTGCATGATTTTGAAAGAACTTATCAACCCCCCCTGGCTACGGGCCTGGCATACATGTATGCTTTATGGGATTGTGCTGCTTTGTGCTGTCAAGGATCATTAAAATTTGAATTAAATTAAATATTATGCCATCATTCTTGGTTAAAGGCAGAATCAGATATATAGGGGTGACAAAATTACAAGCAACATGTACGATTGACCCACCAATCTATTCCTTACAATCTCAATTACAATATCTCCGAAAAGATTCACGATATATTATAAATTGGTAAAGTTATCATGGATTCAAAGTGCAGAAATAGGTGAAAAATGTTTAAATTCTCCCAAATAATAAGAATGGTTACCATTCTTATAGAAAATAACACATTATTGTAAAAATCTTAAGTTTACCTTAAATTAAGTGTGCACTTTGGGGATTTTCACAAAATAGACATGACAAAGAATGACATGAGCCAGAAATATTCTAAAATTGAAACAATTTTTTGTTAGGCCTTCTCGCTATATCTGATTCTCTCTTTAATATGTCCCAATGCCTTTCATTGTATACAGTTTCAAATGGTGTTGAAAGTGCTTTTTCATTGCAAAAATCATATAATCTTACCCTCCACTTTTAAGAACTTCTCTGTTTTCAATTTTGAAATCAATTTATTTAATATTTATAAATCTCATGTATCCAAATATTTAAATTGAAAACCAATACACTGTAATTTTAAACGACCATGCAATCCCAAATACCATATGTATGAATTGGGAAAATTCTGAATTCACCAAATGAAAAAGCACTTTCAACACAATGTTGATTTCCCTTTTGCCCATGCTCTCCATGCACTGTACCACCATATAAGTCATCCTGTCAAGAAGAGGACAATTTGCCATGATTTCATCATGCTTTTCCCATTTTATTCATGTGTACTAACATGCACTGCTCAGCTGATCTGATTGCCTGACTGACCCCTCGATGATACCAATCATGAGTGAGACTAATGCAAATAGTAAACTGAAATGACCAGGTCAGCCAAACAACTGGACATAAACAGATCAAGAGTAGGTTGTTGATATTTTCAATTTAAAACAGCCTACATGTGAGTTTTCCCATGCTATACATGTAAGGTTTCCACTGGTCTACAATTTGGAACTTTACATACAATTATCTATAAATAAACAAGAATTTGAGGTAGACAACCTTGAAAAACTTGGTTTTCTCCCAAAAATCTTCCAAGCCCAACCCCCAACCCTATCCTATACATTACAAACATGGAATGAAATGGAGATGCTTATTTCAGTTTTTAAAAAAAGAAATAATGACTCACTGTCTCTTTAATGGAGAACCCTTGACAAGTTACCCCTGGCTAAAATCTAGCAACACATTTTATAGCAGAGATGAAAGCATTTAATGTAAGGGAATTCAGGGGAAACAAACCTGGTGGCAACTGGCCAATTTCTCAAAGTATATCTAGATATTGACATAGCTGAATTTGAAGGTTAAAGTAATGTCAAATAATGTTTTAATTATTTAAGCAACCAAATAAGAATCACATATCATTTGTGTTTATTTAAATATGATATCTTTACATAATCCTGGTCTGAACATGCTATGAACATGGTACAGCTAAAGTTCACAACTAATCAGAATTAATTATATGTAGTGTGTTACTGTTATCTATAAATAAATAAATCTGATTGTCAATTGGAAGTATGCAATTAAAATGCATAGACAAAGACAAGCAATGTCATTAATATGAATGAATTTATCAACTTATCAAACAAAATATCATTGTGTAAGCCCATCATGCACTTATCATCACTAGAGCATTCCACAACAGTCTGCCACTATGTTCATAATAGATTGAACATAGTGTCTGTAGTACTAACTAAAATACAATGAAGTCTCAAATGCATACTTGTTCCATACCATCCATAAATAAAATGCCAATATATACATGTACATAATATCCCTCATTGGTTAAAATTGAACTCAAACATCTATAAAAATGAGGATTTACTTTACCAACAGAAGTGAATTGCAGTAAAATAGAGAGGTGGTTGACTTACTCCCCATAAACACATTTGCCGTGTGAATATCAGTGTGTGAATATCAATCATTCATAGCATGAAAACAAAAGCCCATTCATTTGATATTTCCTGTGCCTACAATTAATAATATACCAGGGCTTTCAGAAGTTCACCTCGACACAGTGGCGTGATTCAAAAGTCATTTTGAATGGTTACCTGACATAAAACCTCTTGAAATGTCAATATAAATAAAAAATAAACAATAGTACGCACCTGAGGTGGAATAGAATTATATACTTTTGAGTTAAAAAAAACATAAATCAAAGTGATCGCAGAGAAATAAGAAACCTAAACATGTGACATCACATGTTCCAAAGACCATTTAACTGTTAGATATTAGTTTTTTGCTTCCTTGTAACTTGGAATTTGTAATCGTCTCCTTGGCATTTAACAAACATCCTTGACATTAAAAGTGCATCCCGACTACTCTAAAGTCAAGTCAGACACACCTTGATCTACATTGTCAGAGGAAACACATGTACAATGATTATTAATGAGCTAGGGTAGACCAACTGGAATGAATAGGTTAATTAACTCAAAAACTTTATTGCATCAAGTTTCTTGAACCCCCTCAAGGTCAACTTTTCAAATGAGAACATGTTCAAGAAGCATTAAACTAAATGTATAAGTATAAAATGATCAGAAGGAAGTCTTGCATATAAATGCTTTGTCAAGAAGCTTAATCTTATTCTTTATCAGGTTGTGGCTTGCTTTAATGAACAAAATGTGAGGCAATATAAATGAATTTGCTACAGACCAGTTTTTTAAATCATTAGTTACAGGAGTTATTTGGACGTGAAAACCTAAAAACTGGTTTAGACATCACACCGTTTCATCTAGTCTTGCTACAAGCCTCTGTGACACTCCTCTATTTGTCTACACACCTTCTCACACTTGGAGGGGGGGGCGAGTCACAATGGCTTCGGGGGGGGGGGGAGTCACAATGGCTTGTAGCAAGACTATGTTTCATCATACTGTGTTTTAGTGATAAACACACCCATCATCACACTAATAATTAAGGTACAGACAAAGATGTAACATATTCTCACCTTACTTTTATTACCTCATAAATATCTAACCCACCACAAGTAAACAACTTTTCTTCTTTTTTTGTAAGTTAAAAGTAAAATCCCATAAATATTGTGTGTGTAAAGACACTCTAACCTGACTCCCAACAACATGTTGCAATAAACAATTCAAGAAAGCGCCTCAGGATTGTAACATATGCTGGGTGGCCAGTCTATTTTCATTTATACTCGTGGAACATGTTAATTGAAAGCCCATGGTATAATTAATGCAAAAGTTTTTCCAATCGGTTAATCACATTGTCGGATCCACATTCTCTACTATCCTTGCCTGTAGCCAGCTTTTACCAGAGGGGGGAGGTGGAGCTTTTTTCAAGGGGGGGGGTTAATAGTTTGGGCAAAAAATCATGCAAAATGTGCTCAAAATGGTGAAAAACTGCATGGTTTTGAAAGAATTTATGGCCAGGGAGCTCCCCTAACTCCACCCTGGCTGTGGGTACAGGTCTGCTATCCATTAGAATAGATGTAACTCTCAGTCTGATAAATCAAAATGGGTTAATCAGGCTCTGATCAGACACACTTTGATTTTGCACTAATTTTACATGTTCCTGGGCCTATGTACTTTTGCTTGTTGTTTAGAGGATATGGTCTTGAACTTGAAACCAATACACTGAAGGAGACTGAACAGTGTGAATAACAAAAAGGTTATAAAAACAATAAACTATTCATTAGGCCTCTAGCAACAGTTTTATTGTCTGAAGGCCAAGCAATATTTCAACATGATTAAAACTATCTGATGAACATGACCTGAACACGATTTTCGTTTCACTAATTGTATAGTCTCATAACATGAGGTTTTTAACCGTATACAGTCCAACATTTTATATATTATGCAATGCATGCTTTTTTCATGTGTTCTGAATGTTTAGGTCATATTTTCAGCTTTGCTTCATAAAATTGACTGTTTCAATTTTTCCATTGATATTGATGTTAAAATTACTAACTTGCACAATGTAAAGTTCCCCATTGAAAAATAAATAAATTTTCATGATGATGAAACTAATACTAGACGGTATATATTTTACAGTGATTCCATTTAATGGATAGAACACATGTACCTCTATGTTGTTCTTATAGAAAGCAAAAACATATGTTCATCTTGCAAAATATAAGCAGAGAGAGATTTTACAAAATTAATGCATCAATACATTTTTTCATATAGTGATTCATCAGCTAATAAAAAACATAGATGCAGAAATATTATTCCAACTCTATTCACCACCAGACACAGAAATCAATACATCCAGGGCTCCAAGGGTAAATCAATAATAAACAACATTTTCTCATTATCTACCTGTGTAGCATGTTACCGCAGTCTGTCAGACTGAGTACATGCATTCATGAGGTCAAGTAAGGTAGCTAGGGTCATGCACATAGGCAGTGGCACACCACTGATCCTGGCAAATAAGGACATCTGGCCATGTTAACACATGTAACAAGTACATGTGCAATTGTTTAAATGATTATATTATATAACAAATTGACCAAAATTTATATCATATGATTCTCCTTTAATTTTCGGAAATTCATACTTATCTCCTCCCATTCGCTCAAGCATACGTGCAATGTCTAACCGTTCATTAGTTGACCAGTTCGAGATGCCTGAAATGTTCGTACTTTGAGTCATACTTGTACGATATGTTTTTACAGGTTCAAGACCCTGTTGAAATAGTTCAGAGTGCATATCATCCGACAAGTGAAACATTGTCTCAGACCGAGCAGGCACTTCATCCAAGTCATATTTTTTCTTGCTTTGTGCATCGACAATGTTTTTACATTGGAATAGGACTGATCGCTTTGTTGGGTTCAGAGGGTCATCAGCCATGATTTTAGGGTCTTTTGAAAGTAATTCATCCATAACATCTTGAGGAAGATTAGGATGCCGATATTTTTTATTGATCACCTTTTTCCGGTCATTTGGACTGAAGGCACTGGCTGGTTTCCCAGCCCCTGGAAGTAGTTCATGTGGGAATGATCTGTGGGTTGGCAACTTGGTGAAATTGTCCCTGGGGTACACATCCTTAAGGTTAGCTTCATATTCCATCTCGGGAAGCGTGTACCACTTATTCCATTTTTTAGGATTTTTAAAAGCTGGTTCTCGTTTTTTTCTTCGTTCTGATGAAACACTTTTAGTGTTTTTAGATTTTGAAGAGTCAGCTCTTTCATAGAGTCCTAAATCATGTTCACTTGCTGATGCCACTGAATGCGCTCTTGGGGATACTGCATCTCTCACACTGGCAGGCTCAAGGGATTGTCCATCACCATCTTGTTTCTTAGAAACAACTTGGACACGTCTACCACTTGGTGGTGGCTTTTGATCATTGTCGTCACGCCTTGCTAGAATACTGCCTGTTGGAGGTCTGAAGCTGTTAGCTTTCAGCAATGCCTCCCTTGCCTCCTCTTGCCTCTTTAACTCTTCCTGCTCTTCCTTTATTTTCTCCTGTTTTAACCTCTCTTGTTCTGCCCTTTCTTTCCTCCTTTGGATCTTTTCTTCCTCAAGCTTCTTTTTGTCAGGTCCTGTTGCTTTTTTAGTTAATCCCTTATCATTTGTCCAGTTTTCAAAAGCAACTTGTCCATAGAATTCTTTATCTGCTGCAAGGTGTTCCCCATCTTCTATTTCTTTAAGAGCATTCTGCATTTGTATTTTCTTTAATTGGTTCATCTCCTTGGCAACTGATTCTCGTTCCTGATGCCAGGTCTCTGCAGCTAGTAACCTGGAAATAAAACACACACAAAATGTAAAGCCATATAAACTTAGTTATTTATTAAGTAACTAAATTTGATCAACTATGACTAGATCCTCTGTACTATTTAGCATGGGAATGGCAATTCACCCATTATTTGCATAGTCCTGCATTAAGCCCCTGTTCCTCCACCCCATTCTATATAACATAGGGTAGTAGATAGGGAGGGGGTTTGAAGCATTCCGGTAACTGAACTGTAAGACTAATATTCTAATATCAGTTGTGTCTATGATTTTGAAGAAATAAATATGCGCACATAAACAATTAAAGCCAATCAAAAGTGGATAAGTATTTCAGGTCTGGAGGTTTAAGGTCTTCATTCCTGACCTAAAATATCATTTTGCAAGGTAACTAACCTATAAAGCTTTAATAAACATAGCACTGGTGAAGAGTTTGTAAACATCTTATATGTTTTATGTAGTTACAGGTGATGTGAGAGACATCTTTTTTACTTTTTATTCAATTTTCTGATAATTTCCCTTCAAAATTATTCAGAATTCCAACAAAGCTTGGGTATGAGGAATTTACACATTTGAACAAGAGATATACAAATGAATATTTTTGGGAAAAAAGAATCCATAAAAATGGCAGGTTGGCAGGTCTGATCATTATCTAACTAGTATTTACCTGGCACATTTCCTATGGCCCCAGAGTTTAGCCAAGTCAATGGGTGTGTGTCCTCTGCAGTCCTTCTCATTGATCTTTGCCCCAACCTCTATGAGGGCCTTCAGACACTGGACATGTCCTTCTGAGGCTGCCTGGTGGGCAGGAGTGATCCCATCATCATTTACACTGTAACATACAAAATCAGAGATCATAAGTAATTGATTAAAACCAGGTTGTATCAAGTCATATCATTATGAGATCCATAGCTAATATCTTTTGAAGTTTTGGTGCTCTTTTATCCATTTGGCTTGATTGGCATTTTTTCAAACTCCTCGACTCATCTCCGAGAATAATGTACATACATGTTGTACATATATATTTAGCATTAAACTTAAAAAAAACTAAAGGTTTCACATACACTGATGCATCAGCTCCCTGGTCCAGTAGGTACTCTAAACAGTTATAGGACCTCTTTCCAGTCTGGTTGCTGATGGTAACATGTATAGGCCTCCAGCCTGCGGCACTGGCCAAGTTCACATCTATGTGGTACTTCTCAATCAGTAGCTTCAGACAATCTAGTCGGCCATGTATTGCTGCTAAATGTATTGCTGCTAAGCCCTGGAAAAAAGTTCAAATTGAATGTATAGTAAGTAACTAAGTATTCAGTTCAGGCTCCTCAATATGCATAGAATGTGAATATTGCCTCCTTATACTCTAGCTATACATATTGGCATATCCAAGTTATAGGTGTGACTCCAACCCCTTTTTGAGCCAATTTTAATTTTCCCTGGAGATTTTGTTCACGGACACCGAGTAGAAGGAGACTCGGAAGAAAGAACTACATGTATGTGCTCTGGCGAGAGGTGGAAATTTGGAGAAGCTACATGTAGGCTTCAGGTAGAAGCTATGATGATCGAAATTGTTTTGTTTTTTCATGGGCTTTCAACTAAAACATTTAAATAATCTAAATGAATTATCATTAAATACTAGTACTTCTACATCATAAACTGTAAGACAACATTAGATTATATAGTATATGATTACATGTATAAGAATACATGTTATTGTAAATAGTTGCATTGCATTTTAGCCAGAGGGCATTGGCAAGCTCTTTAATCAAAAGCTGAAATGATGGCGAGGGATAATGGACACTGTTCATCACACAGTATGGCAATCATGCTGATCAACAATTTAGTATAAAAGCAACATACATGTTGTACTTTCATCTGGATTTCACTTAATATCACCAGATAAATAAATCATTAATTAAAACGGGGCTGGTTTGGCTCCTTGATGAGATATTGAAATGACAGACATTTAATTTCAAATTTTTTGATTACGACATGACCCGTTATACATGTAGGAATTTATCTTTGGACGAAGGCCACGATACAGCAGCCTTAGAAGAAGGTAACTGAAATGCACTAGTCCAAGGACCAAGGTAATAACAAATTTAACAAATTCTTGGGAAATCAAGTACAGTCCATTTTACCACAATTGCGAATAGCGAAATTAAATCCATCTCACACAAAAATACCACTGCACACTGCCAAGCATATGCTGATGCATGAGGCTAGTAGTATGTATCCAACAGACGGAATATAATATTCGGTCTGAATATTTATTCAGACGAAGGATACAGTCTAATGAGGCTAGTAGACCTAGATGTTCATGGGATTTTTGACTAATCCTTACATTTTTATCAAACTGTACTGCTCCCCCTCTTGAGTCTTTGACACTCTGTCTCAGCCAATCAACATCCCCTATGGCTGCTGCCATGAATTCATCATCAGCTATCTTCTTTTCAACTTTGATAACTCTCCTCCTTGTTTGACCCTGGCCCTGGGGACTCTTGGAGTGACCCTGGCTCCTTCCACCGCCTTCCGACATATCCCTGGAGTGCCTTTGTCACGCTAGTGGGGGTTTATAGTAATCTTATAGTAAATTAAGGACTGTTTTCAATACTTCTTCGATTTTATTCTAAATTTTACAAAGTTTGTTTTCTCGCCGCCAAGCACCTGCTAACTTCCGGTCCAATAAACGAGACTTGTCGAGATCTTTCATTTGAAATGTAAGGGCGAAAGCAATGGCATTCAAACTTCTCTTAAGTATCTATTATATCACAAAGTATCATTTGATTGGTAGAAGTATTCAAATTATTTCCCAACTATGTAGATATCGAAGTTGAAACAAACGAGACTTTGGTCGCTAGTAGCGACGATTCAATATGGCGGTCTGAGTCAAGAATTTAAAATACAGTAAGACATTTTTACAGCTTACTACATTGTTATACCCCTTATGCAAAATATGATGCCACCACTAGTCTTAGCGCTATTAAGTGCATAATTCATCAAACTCTATTTTCTTGGTAAAATTGGGGTAAAATGACAATTCACTACAAATGAAAATAAAAATAGGAAATTCAAAAATCACAGGTCACACAGGAATTCGTATCATCAGCTGACATCTACGATAGTTAACCTGTCAAACAGTGCAACCTATAACCTCATCAGAAAACTTACTGTTTTTCGAAGAAGAAGCAGTGTTATTTGAAGTTCCCGTTTGTTTTGTTTATATAGATTAGATCTAGCCTATCACAGGCTGGTATCGAAATATTTGTCCGCTGTGACGGAGCATGCTATTTTTCATAAAAACACTAAGAATTCTTCACGATTTATTTTTCAACTCATATGTTTCGTTATACCATACAAAATTACTTACTCCATGCAATGGATATATCATTTGCGGGTAACTTTCACTTCTGTTTGAAGTCCAATTACGCTGGGAAGAAAAGCTATTGAAAATGGCGCCGGAGTATCATACTTCAAAATGTACCATTTCTTGTTTAACTTTCTAATGACACGATATAGTGACACGATAATATTTACACATGGTTTCAGCATAACTATGAAGGTATAAATGAGATGTTGATGTATTTGGTCTTTTTAATTCTTTTATAAAAAATAATGTTTAATTTTTTTGTCCGCTGTGACGGAGCAGTTGCAAACGTGAACTGTGAAAATGCTCCATCACAGCGGACAAAAAATATTAATATTATTTTTTATTAAAAAAATCAAAAAGACCCAATGCATTAATATCTCATTAATACATTCAGAGTTATGCTTAAAACATATGTTATATTATCGTGTCACTATATCATGCCATTAAAAAGTTAAAAAAGAAATGGTACATTTTAGAGTTTGATACTCTCTCGCCGTTTTTAATAGATTTTACTCCTAGCGTTATTGGACTTCAAACAGAAGTGAAGGTTACACGCAAATGATATATCCATTGCATGGAGTAAGTAATTATCGTTGATATAACGAAACATATGAGTTAAAAAATAAATCGTGAAGCATTCTTAAGTGTTTTTATGAAAAATAGCATGCTCGTCACAGCGGACAAATCTTTCGATACCAGCCTGTGCTATAGTTTGTGATGCTTATGCCACCTTTTATAGTCTCAGGCTGTCTGGTACCTATTGTACTATGCCTAAACAGATCTGAGTTGTTTGAAGAACATATTATTTATTTGTTAGATTATTTGACTGCATATGTTATATATGTAAGTAAACACTCAAAATTCTGCAATTGTCACCTTTCAAATGAAAAGACCTGATGATCTGACGGTCTGATATGTCAATTATAAATTTCATAATCTGATCATCATCCTGCAGTGTTTGGTGTATCATACTCTGAAGGTCATAGGTGTCTAACTGAGACCATTTAAATTTACAGATACAAACTGTAGTCAACATGGCCCGACCAAGTAACTCCAGGGAGGCAAAGGAGCTCTATGAATTGAAACAAAGAGCAGTGGAGTATTACAGCGAAAATGGAGTGCCTAAAAAGATGGAAGAACTACTAAATTCCATGTTTTATGATGACCCTGAAGATGTTTATGGACATGTAGCTAATTATTTTGAAGGTTATGCAAAAACTCCAACTATAAATAAAGTAAGCAACATTTTTCTGTCATTCCAGTAAATTTCAAGTACATGTACAGTACCAGTATAATGTTGATTACATCAGACTCTTCATGAGAAACTGTAATTACATTTACTTACAAGTTACATATTGCATGTGTATCATTTACAAATGGTGTTACAAATGATAAATTATAATATAATTCATTATCTTGTATCTTGTCCAATAAGCCATTCAATGTTTTGTTAATAGGTGAAAGCTATGGAGGCATTAGACAGCAAAGGACAGCCAACCTTACAAACAGAGGTGTATTGCAAGATTAAAAACTTTGAAAAGGTAATTTGTTTCCATTACTCAGATACAATTTCTAAAATATGCGTAGTCCCAGGAAAACTAAAAAAATAGTTTGTAATATATTGTGGTATTACAGTATCAGTAAATTATTTATAGTTTGTAACAATTCATATTCTTGATAAATTTCCACAATGGTTTTCTCTTGAATGCATTTATGGTACACATCAAACAACAATATTAACAGTGCATTTGACTTTGTTTGGATTAAAACCTTTAGTTGGTGGCTAGTAGTACATCAAACAGTCCGAACAGTCGTTTGTCTGAGGCTGCTAAGATAGAAGATATTGATGAAGAGATGCAGGAAAAGAAAGATTCAGTCACAGCTGCTGTTGGATACATCAATGACACTCTCAATGATAAGCTTCACTTCCTGGATCCCACCAACCAGAGTGAAGCAGACACTTTAGTCAGGTTTGTAAATGTATTTAAATGATATTTCAAAAACATGATGATTTAAATTAAGGTTTTTCTATCACAGTGATATTTAGAACATCAATAGATCATTATGGTAAATCATAACTAAATTGCTAATTTACGCAGTAATATAGTAGTACATGTACATGTATTTTGTTATGACATCATCAATCTAGTCAATTTTCATTTGCAAAAAGAAAAACATTTACTGGAAATGTCATTGTTCAGTTTTACACTCAAGCAATGAGATAAAGAAACTACAAGAAGATTTTGAAGAGAAGAATAAAGAGCTAGAAGAGAAGGAACCAACACCACCACCTCAAGAGACTCCCCCACCATCCAAGAAAGGAAAGTCACCAACCAAGTAAGATGACATACTGATTAATCCAAGAACATTCACTGTAACAATAAATCAATTTTAATTCACATATAATCATATTTCACGCTAATACAGCAATATTAATAATCCAACATTTATAATGATTTTGATTATGTTACCATATGTTGTTACCAACGACAAGTGGTGACTTGTAATAGTCACCATTTTGGTCACCAGAATTTCCTGTGGTATTCAACATTCACTGTCGGTGTATGGTGCATGTGGTAACACTTTTCTTATAGCAACCAGGTTGTCACATCTTGTCATGACTGTTATAATGCCTCATATAATACTCATATGATAAATTATATACTAAAGCTATTCCCCTATTACTTTGTGAACAATAGGGAAACTGGGTGAGTATTGTAATGTGAGGTTTAACTGTTTCCTAAAATGTCTATAATGTAATGGTCTACATGTAGATATACTTTTTAGTCTTTTTGTATAGTTTATCTCACTTTTTCATTATTATTAGTTTTCTAGTGTTTACATAGCAACAATAGTTGACATCACTGTTATGTGTATGCAATCCCTTTGTTCAAAAGTTTAGAAAGTTGAATTTAACATATTATCCATTTGCATTAAGAGAACAGTCTCTTAATTTAATTCATAATGACCTGTTATCATTATTAGATCATTATTACAGAGACTTTCCCTTTAGGGTGACATAAAGTTATATTATTTATGATTCAAAAAAGGATGATTAAAATCTATATTTTAAGAAAGGGTCTGAGCCAAAATGGCCTCTTTTCAGTTATTGAACTTTATGTTACTCCTTAAGTTATCTTATACATCTGGTTTGTTCCCCATTGTAAATCTACCTGGACTCATTCCCCTTAATGAACTGGTACATGCACTTCACCAATTCACAAATAACTTGTAAGTTACTTGCCAAACAACCTACAGCCTAGAGGCCCTAGGGTTAACATGTGACTGGCTCGGTGTATACTGATCTCTTTAGCATATTTCCATTGAAGAAATGAGTTCCCTTCTATTTGATATTATTTCAACATTGTTCATTTATTAGAAATTAATAATTTTGATTGTATTTTTGAATTGAATTTGTATCAATGCTGTGTCAGAGAAGGTTATGGTACAGTATATAACCATACTTGGGGTCCATGACTTTGATACGCAATTGTTATAGTAATTAATACAATGAACAATAACACTTCCATAGTGACATCATACAAAAACTTCTCCCCAAGTTTTATCAACCCATTTAAACATCTGATATGCTCTGCTATACTAGGAAAGGCAAGGGTCCCCCTGTGGTCATCATCCCTGATGAGCCCTTGGAGAAGTTGTTCAGTGGCTGCAATGCTGTTGGGGCCTTATCAAAGGCGATCTGTGAAGCTGGAGCACAAGTGAAAAATGTCCCTCTGTATGAACATATAGCAACACTCAGGCTAAAACAGGTCAGTACTCTTTCATTCACACAACTTTTTGATGGTGCATAACATTTATACTTGTTCATGTACAGTAGAACCTGTATATCTGAACACCTGGCTAATCCGAACACCTCCCAATCTGAATATTTTTTCGGTCCCATTTTTTCCTCCCATTGACTCCCATGTTAAAAAACCTTGAAATGTGAACACCTCCCAATTTGAACAGTGAACAGTCAAATTTGAAAAATTCACCTGTCTAATCTGAACACTTTTCATAAAATTTCTGATGTTTTATACAAAATTGCTCAAATTTTGTCATGATATCAAAACTTTGGGAAATAATCTTGAATGGTCTCATTCATAATGGGGCTTTCCAGCATGATTAGATTCATTTGAATCAAATTTTCAAATTTCTGGAATACCATAAAGCTATGTGGTCAAAAGAACTATAAATATTTACCGAGAATGTGTTCACATTTCTTCAGAATCCGGATTATTGCGAATGCAAAAACCTCGAAATGTGAACACCTCCTAATCTGAACGCTTTTATCCAGTCCCAATGGCGTTCGGATTAGACAGGTTTTACTATACATGTATTTAATCATTTATAATACTGTTTTCTCTGTGTTTTAGGCTCCAGGGAGCTATACCCTACCAGTCCCCATGGTGACAATATTACAGAGCGGCAAAGCAGCTCCTGGTAAACTGAATTGTGTCAAAGAATTCATGATTACCCCAAAACCTGGAATGCCTGTACAAGAGGTAATTTTTGTTATTATTGTGCAATACATCAAATAGCCCAATTGAAACCGATTCAGACTGGCAAAGAGAACTTGGAAAAATGGAAAAGAAACACAAGATTTTAAGAGTTGTAAAAAGGATTAACATATTGTATACATTTCTATTACGTTAATCCAAATGGTATGATTTCTTTAAAAAATCTATACAAAGTGAGACCTGAGCCTTCTCACCTAATAAATGAACAGAATATGTGCGCATGTGCAGTAGAGAAAAGAAAATTGTACATGTTGTATTGGTTTCATTTAAGGCTGCGAAACACATCTCAAACATTTATCAAGTCATTGCCAAACAGTTGTTCCAAAAGACAGGGGTAAGTTCTATTTTGTATTCTTCACATTTCTAAGAGTTGTACTTGTAAAGAAAGAAATTGATAAAGAAAATTAAGCTCATTGTGTATCATGAGACATGTGAATGTTGAACTTTGAAATTAGTTCATTCAGATGTTTCGGAGAGTTCAATTGATGTTATTTTATTGCAGAGGGGTATATAATAATTATAATTCTTTATCACATTTCCTATAAGTTGTGAAGTTATTTAATTGTTATTTGAGCTGCTGAAAATAACATCATTCATCACTCACTTTTGATTGAAGCACTGTTAAATAATATTGACACTCATGATTAATACTGTTAAGCACCATATTGTGAATAACAACAGAGTGTTTGAGGAATAATAAATCACCATGTTGCCATTTTATTAGAGCTGGTATGGAACGGAAGTGTACAAATTGTCAAATTTTACCTTCAGAAATGGACTTTTTGAACTGCCTTCTCATGTTCTGAAATGTTATACATTTAATACATTTTTAAAACATCATGTCAAATGTTTTATAAGTTAAACTTCATGGACTAAAAAATATGAACACTAAGTTCGATATTCCGAAAATTCCGAAGGCAAGTTCCGAAATCCTTTCCATTCTGATTCTTCCATTCCAGTCCTACTTTTTATGTGTGAATTTGCACATTGTAGAACTAATTAACAAATACATTTTACATATGTTTAATAACACTTGTTCACTGTGTATGTAATTTCTAACTAATCCTTACATTATTTATTTGTTTCATTAGAACAAACAAGTAAGTTCTTAGATTTTTAAACTTTCTAGAAATGTGGAAACTTGTAGACTTAAAGTCTATCATGATATCCATTTCATATCACCCAACATTTTCTATTGCTTGCTCTTTTACTGCCAAACCCCAATCTGTTCCTGTCACAGTTGCAAAAGTGATGCAGTAATTAATGAGCCACCACCACTCACCAATACTAGTTACATTTAATATTCTGCCAAATGAAAGTATTATGCTTTGTTTTCTCCTTTTTATGACACCCCAGCTGGAACCTTTTACTAGCCACTTGGCAGATTGAGACAAATATGCTGCATTGATGGCTGAGTTGCATTGATATAGCATGAATGTATTTGTTCAGTTGTCTTCAGATGTGAAAGTGCCCTTCACCAACCACACTCCATCAGTTACTACTTTACTGTATATTGATTGAAATAAATGTATAATAAGCTTAACAATCCATCAACATGTGCTTTGCTTATGTCATACCTGTTTTTCCCTTCCCAAATTGTGGCCTTCCCACTTCTACAGTATCATTCATCATCATTTCATCACACGCAGGCTTATAATACAGTGAAACCTGTAAAGTGAACATCTCTAAAAGTGGAACACCTCTTTTAGTGGAACACTTTTCAAAATCCCAAGACTGATTTTATGATAAATGAACCTCTATAAAAGCAACACCTCCCAAGTGGAACATTTTTAGAAGTATCAAATGTGTTCCATTTAAACAGGTTTTACTGTATATTATATGTTGTAATGTATTTTACCTCTTCTTCTGCCCAATCTATCTCTTGAGTTGCCTTCATTGCATTCCTATTGTATTACATTGCATTGCATTTCCTTGCGTATGAATGTTGTATAGTAAATCTGTATTTTATTATTGTGTCAATTGACTAGGATTTTGTCATTTAAAAATCAAACTACAGTATGTGATTATTTCATATTCAATTATTCAATAATTTTTTAAATTCACGTATAACAGTAAATGCACATCAAAACTGTTAATGACAATGACTGCTTTATTTCAGATTGCTGCCAAGTTTGTCAATGACAATGGGGCCCTAGTGCCTACAATGGACCGCCCAGAACAAGGGTTAGATATGATCCAAGAGGCCATGACGCTCCTAGAACTCACTGCAGGAGAAGACTTCCATATTGTCATAAATGCTGCTGGTCAGGAATGTTTTGACTTTGTAAGTACATGCCATACAGGGATGTGAAATGATTTTAATTAAAAAGGTGTTCTGTTTTTAATGGTCTTGCTTTAAGACTGTGAACCCCCCTCCCCTGCACCTTTACCAACACAACATACCTTGATGAAATAGTTAAGATAAGGGGAATGGGGTCCAGGTTCTATAAGCAAGACTACAATGAGTGCAGTTTTAGAAATCAGAAGGGAGCAGATTTCCATAAATTGTTTACCAGTTAACAGCTTTGAAGTATTGAACATTTGCATTCACATACATTTAGAATAGATTTATAATGATTTATTTTATTTACATCAACAATTGGCATGGTACTGAGACATTTATTTAATGCCTCTAAATAGTTGAATCGGATTTAGTCATTTTGAGGTTCCTGAACTTCTTTATTGTATTTTATTTATATTTATTTGTATTTTGTAAAGCCTCGCATTCTTGGAGGCATTATACCTTTCTTTGACCTCACCCTTTATAGCGTCAACTTGTAATCTTTTACCCTATTTTTATGCTCTCATCTATGTGCAATAGGAATTCACACGTCTGTTTGTAGGACAAGGGGAAGTATGAAGTGACAACTGGCCAACAGAAGACAGCGGAGGACACTGTTGAATTCTGGGTAGAGCTACTTAACCGTTACCCTTCTGTCATTGGTCTAATCGACCCACTCAGGAAACAGGTAACTTAAACACATAGTATAGTTACATATTTTAACATATTGTAACACTCATATTGTGACATATTGCTAAATATAGTTAATTGTGAAGAAAAACTGTCATTAGACTTAACCAATCCATTCAAGAAATAGGTTAATTTCTTATATGATATTGGAGGATGGTGCGGAATAAACGGTCACTTTTGATTTTAAAATGATATTTCGGAAACTAAGCCATTTTTTGTTTCAAATATATCCATATGTATGACATGTATGAAGGAAAATAATGGTGTAATTCATTCTATAGCGACGCAGTATGCATTAAACCTTTCCCAGACCTATATATTTCGAAATTGTCATTTTTATACAGCGTCCCCAGCATTCATATAAAATGGTGTTCAAGATACACTATCCATATAAATTATTTTCTTGGAAGCCAGGCAATTTCTGTTTATAGTCTCCAACTTTTTTGTGGGTGTTCGACAGTTGGTGGTTGGTGTCTGTAACAAATGACAGATGGTGACATTTTGCATATTATATCTTGTTGAAATTGCTTGCCTCCACTTCGACTTGGTTGTATCAGCTGTCAATTTATTATTTTACAGGATAAAGAATGCTGGATGAAACTTTGTGACAGGATTACAGAAAGATTGTTCATGATTGGAGATCACGTCTATCACAGACCAGGTGAGTGTATTAAGGTTTAGTCAGCTGTGCAGATCAAACATTTAGCTATATGCATGAAAGATGATCCATTTAAATAATATTAAACTTGGGAGTGAATGAATGTCATATACGTATCTGCCATTTTAAATTTGAGTAGCAGGAAATTTTTCCTCAGACATGTACAAAGAATGTTCTATCGATGTCACCATTCTGATTGAAATGACATTATCTCCACTTTAACAGTTCAATCCAACTTCTACAATAGTCAGAGTGAACGATATGATTGCTCATGGAAAGAAAAAATGAAGAAAATGCTCTTGAATAATAATATGTATGTTGCAGGTTTGCTAAATGATGAAGAAATCAATGTGGATGATTTCAAGACAAGTGGCATATCATTACGCTATGAGCTGATGACAAGCGTGACAGACATTATCACATGTAGCGACAAAGTGAAACAGAATGGCAATATTGTCATCCTATCAGCCAATCAGGCGGAGACACCAGATACATTTATAGTAGACCTGGTATGATTATTAATCAATCAACCTAGGTTTTGAGTAAATACTGAAATTTATATCAATTTGAACAAAAATAACATGACAGAGTGAGTGGACCAAAAAAATTAATTTTCTTAAATCACTGCATTGACATTTTATTCCATTTTTACTTATTTTGCGCAGATATCTTTTTTAGGGGCTAACAGAAAATGATGAATCATTTCTCATGAAAACATGTTTATTATATAATAATCCAAATTTTATACACTTCAAATTAGTAAACATTTCACTTATTATTGTTTCAGGCTGTTGGTCTGGAGGTAAAGTTTCTGAGAATAGGAGCTCCATGTCGAGGCGAGAGAATTGCAAAATTAAATAGACTCTCACAAATAGAAGCTCAGCTAACACAACAGAAAATAACTGAACAAATATTTTATGAATTTCCCCACATTCAGCCTCCACCACCACCAGAGCCTGAGGAAGGAGAACTGGTTGAACCAGAACCCGAGAAAAATAAATCTACTCCAAAGAAGAAATAATAGAACCATATAAAAGAACAAAATGTGTACATCTACAAATCTGTTTACAGCCTTCTGCCTCTTTAGATAAATCACCTTACGTTTAGTTGATCAAACTTGGGACATTCCTAATGAACAAAAATGCTGATTAAATATACATGCAGCTAGAGCCTACATCAGAAAACTGAATCAATTTCCACCTGTTTGGGCTCAATGTGCCACAAACCAACCAAAGTGACAGTTAAGGGAAGTATAGTGTGGACCTTACAGTATTTGAAATTGCAAAATTTTACATTTGATTTGACAATGTATGCGGAAACCACAAATAGTTTAATCAAAATAAAGAACCATTAAATTATTTTAATTCTTATTTAATTTTCGTTCTTTATTTATTTATTTACATTATACACTGTTATATAAAGTTCTAAAAAATTCCATAAAATTGAGCAGTGAAGTACAAGATACATGTGCAAGTGTTTATATATTCTTTTTTTATGTATAAGCATTAACCAGCCAAAGTCTTGATAAACATATTCATTATTCATGTGAATATGAACTACTTCTACTGTACACATTAAAAGTTATACACATGCATTTTTTACACATGTAAAATATAATTGCATTGGAAATGTAAAAGATTCAATATTGTACAAAATATCTACTTTTAGTACAGATCTTAAGCTTTTCATTTATACAAAGCTGAAAATCTTGAAATACAAATATCTGCATTATTGTACTATGTTAGTTACTTGTATATCTCTGGGCAAATCAAGCTATTACAAAAGCATTTTTAAAGGGACATTTCCCTTCTAGCTCATTATTGTCTTGTTATAAGCAATTATATATAAACAGTTTATATAAAAATATCAAAAAAGGTTTTGGTTAGGTCACATTTGACCATTTTAAAATGTATTGTGCATATTTTCATATTTCTACGAAATGAGGATAACTGGAGGATTGTTTCTAGCAAACATATCAAGAATGGCCAATAGAGTTGGGATTGATATATCTTTAAGTACATGTATACAGAATTGCAGCACCATTAACATTGAATCATGATTAAAATTATTTTGGATCCATTGCCTCTTAAAACCACTGCTTAAATACTTCGCTAAATTGCTAAAATATTACTGAAGTGAAAAAAAAATTACTCGCATATTTGTAGTTCAGAGATCGAAAAAAGTGAATTACCACTTTTCACAAAGTGCATCTTTTACATAACTTTTGGATTAAAAGATGGCGAATGTTTGAAAATACTATCAAAATCAATGGATAATGTCCCCGGGGGGTTCACTGTGTACAAAATTTGTCAGGGGTCCTAGGCTGAACCATCAGATATCAATATACAAGTGTATTCCCATACCAAAATGTCAAATTTGAATGTGTTCCCATACCAACCGATATTTTGCCCAAAAGCCATCCCAAATGCCCAAATATGAAACCAATGCCATACCAAATGTCAAAATATAGGACCAATGCCATGACTGGTCCAAAGTAGAATATTTCCTGGGAAAAAAGCTATTTATTTAAACTGAAGAAGGTCCCAAGAAGAAGGCGATCTTTGAGGAAAACGAACCAAAACAACCTCATATTAGAATATGTGTAACTACTAGACCAATTCCATACCATAATTGTGAGATAACATATTTTCCATTCTCATACCAGAAAGTTGAAAAATCTGACCATTTCCATCCATCAAAAGTTTAATGAGGGGGCATTCTCGTACCACATCCTAAAATTTGGGTCCATTGCCATACCAAATGTCCAAAAAGGTACCCCATGTGGGCCGAGGATCCCCGTCAAGGTTTATATACAGTAAACCCCCCGGGATAATGTCATACAAAAAACTTCGCCATCTTTCTCTTTCATTGGCATTGCTAAAAACTTGACATATATAAATTGATAGATTGAAAATATTTTTTGATAATCTAGTGACAACTCTGATGTGGTCTGTTTGAGGTGTTTTTGGTGTCAAATAAAAGATCAAGTGCTTATCAATCCATTGGAAAAACTATGAAGATCAAAAGTAAAACTTCAATTTGCCGATTATATGCATTTAGTTCTTTTAAATCCCTGGCGATTTGTGAATTTTTGTATTACCTGGACTCCATTGCATTTCATGTTTTGTAAAATGTTTGTAAAGTGTTTTTAGGCAAACAAATAAACCCAAAACTATGATGTAAAAGAGGTTAAGGTGAGCGTGTCATTGACCAAGATGACATAGTAGTAGGTGCAGTTAATGAAATTTAATAGACGCGAAATCATGTTTTCTCAAAATGTGCAAAATTCAAACTCGCGAAATTAACCAGGAGTACAGTACATTTTTTTTGATTTGCAGATATTCTAGTATTGCTCTGGTCTCCCACTCTCAATTTTGCTATAAAAATTTATATTGGGTTTGTACATACCTGTATTTTCAAACATTGTGAATAATAATTGTCTAAAAAAGAGCAGATGCAAAACTTTGAGAAGTTATATCATATATCAAAAGCAAGAGGTTTTCAAAATACAAGTCTGCTGTGGTAATAGACATTCTGGCCAAATGGAATATAGATGATATACATAATGTTCAGTACTAAGTACTACTGTACTTTACAATTGGTTCTATATAGAAGATCCATTACTCAGACAAGTCAGCTTCAGTCAAATACAGCATCACTCCTGAAAAAAATAAAATTATAGAGCATTAGAGAGTCAGAAAATGATTGACAATCTCATCAATCCAAGAGAGTGCCAAATTGAATAGATTCACAGAAAATAAACTTGATTTTTGTACCTAATTATGCTCCTCTGTAATTAGAGATAATTTCTTCTCACTGCTACCACTGCAAATTTCCTTTTCCTCTTTTTTTCTTCGAGCATTTAACTTCTCAGCTAGCTCAGAGTTCTCATTCTCAACAGTTTCCATTATATCACCCGATGACCGGCTGCGCTTCCGTAACATAGACTAAAAGTATTATATGTTCAATGTAATATAATGTAGGATCATTACTGAGAGATAATATTGTGTTTAAGTTTCACTTTAATATATGTAGTGATTTCTCTCTGAAGTGTTTGTCATGTATACTAGTATATGGATTCTCATGCCTGCACCAATTTCATTTTACTGTTCAATTTACACGCATTATAGTGTATTATAATTAGGGTTTTATCTAAATGTGAAAAAGGAAACAAAACTAGAGCTGGTCCAAAGAACAATTCAAATATCATTGACAAGTTATAGATGGGTCACATTTGCTCCAATTTATCGGCCGGCGCCCACCCAATTGAGTGTTTTGTTCAATATTGTATTCAATTTTGAACAAACTACTCAATCGGCCGGGTGCCATGGTGAAAATCGGAGCAAATGTGATTAAGGCATTAGACTAGCTCAAAGATATGGGCAATAAGTGACCATGCTACTGTGCTCTTGTGCATTCTATGAACTTCAAGACATTTATGTCAATATTGTAGTTCAAAGAATAGCAAGGCATTAACATGCAAAATTGCACCATTTGCCATATGTTACATACGTTCACCATCAAACACCAACTGATGTATGCGAAACACTGTCCACAAAAAATTGGAGACTATAACAACATGTCACCCCTTCTGGTGGTGACATGATCTAAAACTAAAACAGTTTCTTGCTTTTTAAATGATATCTTACCAGCATGTTTCCCATCTCATCAAAGGCTTTGCTGCTCATTCCAATGATAGGCTCTGATGGCTAAAATGGAACAAATGAAAAGGCATTATCACTATGTACTTTGTATAATATCTTCCATTACATGTTGTGTTCAAGTTTTTCTAAGATGATTCTAAATACCACTCCATGTGTTTCTCCAATTCAGATAAGAACTGATATCATGATATAAATATAAAATATAAACCAGAACAACGGCAACGCCAAAGCGTAGCGAATCCCATCGAACAGCCATGGATGGCATTTTTACAAACAAAGTATATAGCAAAAATGGCAGGCATTTTTCAAAATGGCCGCCTTTTACCAAAAGTGTCATTAGACCATTTGCCATACTTATAGTATTCACATACCAAATATGAACAAAATAGCTCCACTACTTTTTGAGTTAAAGTAAAATACGAAAAATGGCCGCCTTCTACCAAAAGTGTCATTAGACAGTGTGCCATGCTTACAGTATTCACATACCAAATATGAACAAAATCGCTTCACTACTTTTCGAATTATAATAAAATACATTAAAATGGCGGCCATTTTTCAAATTTTTTTTCAAAATGGCCACCTTCTACTAAAAGTGTCATAGGATAGTGTGTCATGCTTTAAGTATTCACATACCAAATATGAACAAAATCGCTCCACTACTTTTCGAGGTATAGTAAAATACGTTAAAATGGCGGCCATTTTTCAAAATGGCCGCCTTCTACCAAAAGTGTCATTAGACAGTGTGCCATCCTCATAGTATTCACATACCAAATATGAACAAAACTGCTTCACTACTTTTCGAGTTATAGTAAAATAGGTTTAAATGGCGGCCATTTTTAAAATGGCCACCTTCTAACAAAAGTGTCTTTAGACAGTGTGCAATGTTTATAGTATTCACATACCAAATATGAACAAAATCGCTCCACTACTTTTCGAGTTAAAGCAAAAATCGTAAAATAACGAGTAAAGGCCGCCATTTTTCAAGATGGCTGCCATGTGCTTCTTTAATATCTACATTTCTAGCTTTATTAATGTCCTATATAATTTTTTTACATCTAAAACATATTGCTATTACAGTTTTACATATTGCACCTAAATTACTGTAAATTCGGCACTAAAATGGCCGCCATTTTGAAATGAGCGGCCATTTTGAAAATCGGCTTTCGAGCAGAACTTCTACCCCCATAGAGTATATATGTACAAAATATGAACAAAATCGGGCCAACGGTATTTGAGTTATTGCCCGGACGGACGGACGGACGGACGGACGGAGGCGTTCCCTATATCCCTCCGAACTTCGTTCGATGGGATAATAAACAAATTGGATCGGAGACACTGAACATGTACATGTAGTACAAACTCTCAAGCACATACATGTACTGTACATGTAGGGTAGTGCAGCTAAGGTTCAAATGTAGGTTAAAACAAGTTGAATATAATTGCTATCATTTGGGCAAGGACACTAAGTACTGTAGACCTTGTGGACTGGCCCTTGACCAGTCCTGCAGATCTGCAATCAGAATCAGTCCTGTAGCCAAGGTGTTCGAGAAACACCAACTGGTCACAAATACTTTCAAAATCATTGTCGTTTTTCACCATTCTACATGTTCTAAGCACTTTCCAAGTGATTTTGTGTGCCAAAGTTATCAAATGTGAACCCCCTGAAATTTATTGAAAAGTGAAACTCCCTCGGCAAATGTTTGCTAAGGACCTGAGAATATATTGTTTGCTAAAATATGTATGCCCTTCCACAGTTGAATCCTTTTGATATGTTGCTTCAACATTTTTTCTGAAAATGGTGAGTTCCCCAAATATTGAATAGTCTTTTACAGTGGTGACAGTTAGTGAGAGCTAATAGGGGATTTAGGAACGATAGTTGCCTAGTGTTGTTTTTTACATGTAGCTGCAGGGTTGCAAAATCAGATATGTCCTGCTGTTCAATAGGACTGGAGATATACATGAAAAAATCAATAGTTAGATTAGAATAATGGACAAGCTTGGCAGAGTACAAAACTAAAGGTTATAAAATCAAAACATAATCATAACAAACTATATCTAATTATAAATCATCAGTTGACAACACAATGCAACAGATCATCAGGTAATGCATATGATGGACTAGGAGATCTTTGGTGTTGTGCACCATATTGAAGTTCATGTATTAGTATAAATTTTTATATTATTTTATTATAGAAACATATAAATATAACATACACATGTTTCAGCTTTGCAGAACAGCATTGTAAGCCACAAGTGTAAAAGTTTGTAAGAAGAAAGTTGGTAATAATTTTGCTATAAGCAAAAGATTTAAACATAACATGTGGCCAGGACAAGCCGAAACAATCACATAAATGTAATTGAAAACTCTCTCACCAATTTGCCTTCACCCTAAAATGGTTATTTTTCTAAAATTATTATTTGCCTAACATCATAATGCACAGTAGGATTAGGAATGTCATATATCATGTTAGGAAACAACTGGGTCCAAATAAACACCATGTCCGATGGTGAATCACATGCCATGTAACCTTACAAGGGTGCTAAATGACATTGAAGCCCCTACACTCATGGGGAACCAGCTTTCAAAAATAAGCATTTATGAATTTTCAATCAATTCTGGTTAAACTACTTAAAATCTTTCTCTAAGAAAATGTTGAAAAATCTCACCCTTCTTTGTGCTGGTTCTTTCCTTGTCTTTAGCAATGCCTCTCCATCTTTGATCCTTTTCATCATGTCTTTCAGTACATCATTCATCTGAGGGGTAACAGGCACTGAAACAACAGATATGTCATTATCAATCCATCTTCTGAGTAAGATTGGCTAGCATGTAACAATACAGACAGTATGAAATATCATAGCACCTTTGATACTACATGTACAGGGGCGGATCTAGGAACCAACAAGGGGGGCCCAAATTTCAGGTCGGAGATAAATATTTCCGCGCTTTCATAAAAAAACTCAAAAGTGGGCCCAAAAAGGCCTACTTTTTGGGGCCAAAAATTTTTTTAGGCCGAATTTTTTTTCTGGGCCCTGACCCAAGATCCGCCAGTGATGTATGTACATCTTTACCTGGTGTTTTACCCCTTCTTCTAAGAGAACATTAAGTAATGATGTGTCCCCTGCACTGGAGAATAAACACGAATTCGAAAAAGTCTTGAACTACTTGAAAACTGCATGCAATTTTGTACAGATCTTTGATAGTAACCCACTTTGGATAATCATTTTTTAATCTAGCATCTATAGACATGCATTCATTGTTAAAAAGCAATTGAGATGTGAACATCTGCAAATCAGAACACTTTAACCTGTCTTTTAGCCAGCCAAAGTGGCATTCAGAATAGATAGGTTCTACTGTATTTGATTTAGACCACTAAACATGCCAACAAAGACATACCTTGGTTTCCTTCTAAGATTTTTTTCTTCTTGTTCTGCATCATTTTTCGTAGTGGCCTAAATTATACAAAAATGTAAATTGAATACATGTAATTGATGCAGTGATGTTTGTCACAATCATATCCATGACAACCATTTGTCACTCAAACCATATTTGGATAGGGCAGAGGTGAAGGTCATATGAATGCCTAGACCAAAGGCTACAACCCAAATTGGCATTTATGACATGAAGCCAAGCGAAGTGACCCAGGCAAAGGCTAAGGCATAGACCCTGATAGAAGCACATCAGTATGAATAAATAAATTGTTAAGTTGTTAAACTTATATGCCTGATAAGGAGACTATATGAATCAAATTCTTTTTTATAGATAAACAATTTATTTCATCATATAAATATTTACATACATAATAGCTTGCCACTCGCCTTACTGGTATTATAGGGTAAGCTGAACAACATTTTAAGTACAAAAAATAAAAATGTATGGAAGAAGGAAGGAACCAAATTCCTGATTCTGACCTTAATAGAAAATGAACCTCTCTATTGTATGTGGAATACCTCCAAAGTGAAACACTATATTGAGGTAAAAAAGTTCCATCAAAACAGGTTTTACTGTATTGCTGTGTTTTTCTTGGCTAATTTACAAAGACATGATTATATACAATAACTTCGATGAAACACCAAAACTATGTGTGTAGAGTACATGGAACAGGAATTTAGATTGGCAAAGCTGTAAATTGTTGAATTTTTCAAATTACCAAGCTTTGCTAAAATAAAGCAGGCCCAATATTTACCAAATCACAGTATTATAAAGAACTGGATATTCAGTTCATGACAGTTTATATGTGCTGTCTAAAATTAATCAGGTGGTGGCCTTACGTGAATAGCGTTGGGGCAGGGATAGGGGGAGGGGGTGGTGCTACAGGAGGTTTCAGGCGATCCTCTTCCATCTTGGTCATCTTACTGATCAGTTTCCGATCTAAAGATATAAACAATTGTATTTAAGAAATCATATTCATATACAGTCATTGACCTGCTACTTTTAAACTAGAGTATTAACTTAAAGTATATAATATGTAGTGATTTTAGAGTAACTCCTCTCAAAATTTGTGGTTGAGGTAAATTCTAAAGACAATCTAGTCCACTATGATCCCCCAGAACATCTCTATGCCCTTGATCTCCTGATTTGGTTCTCTTTGATTACATGTACATAGAAAACTGAGTCCCTTTTGCTCCCTCAAATAATCTAATCCTTTTTATCTTTTAGAAAAAGTTCCTGTTTATGATTAAGAAAATCTAATCTCACTATTATTAGAGAATCCAGTCCCCTTTGATTATTCAGAAAATTCAGTCCCTTTTGATTGCTTAAAATCTGATCGCTTATGTAGTTTAGCTTTGACATACTTTCTTCTTCCATGGCACTTGCTTTTCTCTCTGTCTCCATAAGTTGTTTCTGTAGCAACTCTTGTTGTTCTGTGAACCAAGTTACTTGCTCCTCAAGTCTGCTCACATTCTTCTCTGATTCATTTGAATCAAGCAGCTCTCTCAGTTGTTGTATCTACAATAATATGTACAGTATTGACCCTTCCACAGGTTGAGTGTCAAAATTATATCTCTCAGTAACACCTGTAGGTCTGATGACCCCTACATTCGTATTTGTGTGCACACTGGAATAATCAGCTAGACCATATCAAAACTTAGTGGCTAAGAACATCTGGACTAAACTTATGTCCTGTTTGAGAGTAAATTTATATGTAAAAGATGATGTTATTATCATATGTACATACTTTGATCTCCTTTTCTTTCTTTTCCTTCTCTAGATCTTGTGTAAGTTTATCTATGTCATTAAGGGCGTCCATGAGTCGTTTGTCCGAAGCCACTGAATTGAGCACAATCTGGCTCTCTCTGGCCATAGCATTCTTTTGGGAGAACATCTAAAATACATTCCAGTGAAACCTGTATATATTTGAGCACCTATATAATCTGAACTCCTTTCAATATGAACATTTTCGTTCTCTCCGTAACAATTTTGTAATCCCCCATTTAGTCCCTTAGAAACCTTGTTGAACACCTGCTATTCTGAACACCTTTGGCTGGTTCCAGTGCCAGGTGTTCACATTAGACAGGTTTTATTGTATTTAAACATTTGAATGAATATTTAAAAGAATCTACACTTCTATCAAAACATTGCTTTCTGTTGTGTCTTATACAGGCTGTCATCTTGGTTTGGATAAAATAATATAAAGATAATTATGTTATAAATATCCAACAATTTTGGAAAAACATACTTTGTAGAGTTGTATACATTTGGTATTATACCTTGTTCTATAAACTCTCAATCATGATCAACAGACATTAGAGCAATGATTGTGTAATGACAAAATCATATTGGATTCAAAATTTATAAGCCAATCAAATAGAATATTGAATAAAAATGTTATTGAATATTTTTCCTAAAATATATCATACCTTAGAGGCAAACCTCTCAGCTTCCTCTCTACACGTCTGTTCTGTTTCATATTTCTCCCTGAGGTCGTTGAACTCGCTATATGCCATCATTGACACTCTCTGAAATTGTTTAAGGCTTTTTGATTGCGCTGCCACTGTTTTCTGGGTCTTCAGTAAGGCTGCTCTTTCTCGCTCATGTTTGGCAGTTAGTACTGCAGCGTTATCAATTTGGGCTTTCACCTGTTCAGTTAGTTCCCGAATTTGTCTTTTACTTTCTGCATTTTCTTTTTCAAGAGCTGAAATTAAAAAGAAAATCTGTCCTTATGATTTTTTTATAGATTTACATGTTCTCTGCAGATGGAAGTGAAGAACCCTTGAAGCAATAATGATCTTTATCATTATTATTGAATGAATTATACATAATTTAATGATAGCCTTGTAATTAGAGATGTACCTGTGTCATCAGTCTCTCTTTGATAACAGAGAACTATTTTACACTTTTCTAATAATTTTTACATTATCCTCATGTTGCATACAGTACATGTGCATAAAATAAAATCATAGCCTAAAATGGCATAGCCAATATCTTCAAATATTGCAAGATAAATTAAGGCAGAGAGAACAACTGTTTCAAAACAGTCAACTGTCTAAGTGAATATTTTTTTCTAAAGTTTTGTAGAGCCAGTTGCCTCACCTTCCTCCTAACGCTCCTTGTCTGCGCCATCTATAACTATGTTTAAGAACATACCTTCGTTGCGAGCCCTTAAATCTTCCAAAAAGTCTTCTTTTTCTGCTTCATCTTTCTCCTGATCAATGGGATCATCTAATGGAATGTCAACAGCTCCATATTTCATTAAAATGGCCTGACTTTGTCTTTTCAAGTACTTGTTCTGTTTGTTTAGGGACTTGTTTTCCTTCACAACCTGGAAATACAAATTGCATTTTTGACATATAATGCTCAAATAGAATTATGACATTATTTTCAGATATTCCATGGACCTCGACTTCTTTGACAACAAAGTTATTTTTTTACAAGACAGACATGTTTAATACAAGGTTTCTCACAGTGATATCTAATGGCAGCTTTTACACAATAGAAGGCTTTCGATATAAGTTTTCAGCCAAACTTATACTGCAACTTTTTAAATGACGAAGTACGAAGTACATACTTGCCGAATATTTTGATGTGATTTGAAGGAGGAAAGCACCCGATCTTCATATCCAGAGTACCTCCCCAGTGCTATACCTGACTTGTACAAGTTCAGGTTTGCGTATACATATTCCAAATACGTTATATCGAAAGCTCTTTATTGACATCCCTGAACACATAATGACGTTTGACATCAGTCACTTATTATTTGCATGTAATAAACATCAACATATAATTTGATCTTACGCATATTATGTTTTCAGAATGAAGCAAACCCACCTGTTTGTGGTTTACTTTTAAATGCTGTGGCTTTTCTCTCATATCACTCATACTGCGCCATCTTTTCATGAAAGACATCATTAATACTTAATCCATGTCTGACACCTTTTAAGACTCTGATTTTAATACTAAGGTATTCAAAACTTGCTGTTCAGTCATTTAAATCTTGATTTGAATGTGATCTTGTTTAATTTACAATTGAATTCCAGAACATTGTTGCAGAATGATCAACAATCTCTCATTACGATGGAATTTTATCAAAACCAATCAAACATTAATTTATCTGAATTGACGCAAACACGTTTATATACATAATGCTGTAGCGTCAATGAAAAGTTAAATTACTTGAAAAGCCTCTTGAAATGGTTTGACATGGTTCATATCATATCATACAATATAATATTTTTAAGTTTTAAAATCAATCTATTTTGTATATTTCTTGGATTCTTATTTAGCTGGTTAACTGCACCTAGACTAGCTGTGGTTCAGTAAGAGTTTACAACTCTGGAAAGGTTAACTTTCATTACTATGATTACAGTATCTCTGTTTTGTTTACTTGTTTCTCTGATTATATATTTACTACATACATGTATGAACAGAGATGAACAAAGTAAAATGAAGGCATGCAATTTCTATTTAAAGTGACAATTGTGGAGTGCATGAAAATTCTAAAGGATCTTTGAGGCTAAACAACATAATATGATAAGGAATTCATTAAAACCGAGTGACTAACCAACAAGTTTACAACTAATAATACAAGGTATCTACATGTAGTACATAGACACAATAAAAATACCATAAATTGGTCATCCAATGTATTTGTACACATACAGTAAAACCTGTGAACAGCTTGAAGTGTCCATATTGAGGCATGCTTAAAAGGTTGCGGCGAAAAATGTCAAAAAGTGTACACACACACACAGGTTAAGCTGTACATAGTATAAAAAAGCACAGTCAGTCCCAAGAAAGCTCAAAATGCAAAATAATGTCAAAGAAATTACACATATAATTCTCACATTCAAGGCAAAAACTATCCCCCATAATTTATTTGAAAAGTGAAAAGCTGATTAATTCAATTTAGCAAGGCCTGCAAATCTGGAAGAAATCAAGGGGATATTACTCAGATCTGACCTAAATGGTGAGGTAAAAAGAATTGTGAAAGACTTTTGTACATCATCTATATCAGAACATCTAGCAGACAAGGCATTAACATGCAAAATGTCACAACCTGCCATTTGTTACAGACATCAAACACCAAACATCAATCACCAAATGCCAACCACCAAACACCAACCACTGAATGCTGTCCACAAAAACTTAGAGACCATAACAATATGTCACCATCAAAAGTAAACATTCAGTCACTTGCATATCATAACAATGACATTCACTTTATCCTTTTATCTCAGGTTCCAAGGACTGATGACAAATAAAACCATGATAGGATTAGAATGTAAATGTACGTGCTCTGGCTGTAGTACAGTGATTAGATTTTAAGTGTTGTTTACACAATAACAGTGCATGTGTTTAGAATTAACCATTCTCATATTCCTACTGTTACAATATCTGTACACTGCTACATGATATATCATCTTAGTTACTATCTACTTTAACCGTTGGAGGAGCAATTTGAAAAGAAAGCTTAAAACATAAAAATTATTTGACAAGCAATTGAAAAAAATTGTTAATCCATTTAATTAGAATAATACAATACAATTTGAATCCAAAAGTGATAATATTAGATGTATATTTGTGTTGTTAATGGAGCTGAAGATGAACAAGATGGTCTTAATTATAAATAAAGAATATTCTGAGTTTAAGAAGGTCCAAATTGGTGTTTCAAAAGATGGGTTTCACTGCAGTTCTCTCATGGCCAGGGATTTTAAGGTCATGGCAACCCACACTAAAAACTATTTCAAGATTTCTGAAGTTGTATATTATTGCTGGCAAATCATGGTTTAAATGCACTATTTTTTATGAAGTACATGTAGTGCCTATATGGTGTTTTCTATGGGTCTTGTTCTCAGATATCAACCCTCTGCCCCTACAGTCGCTCGATTAGATATATTGTATTTCCTTCAGATATACCCAGTATCAAAAACCTCCCATTAAATAACCTTTATATATTTTATATTTCATAATGTATTGAGTCAGTGTAAACATTTTAATGACTTTTACCTGTTTTGCATAGTTTTCTGCTTGTTTTGAACATTCAGCAGCCAATTCCCGTTCAGAGTCCAATTCACTATACTCTGCATATGCATGCTCCAATACTATAATACAATAGGGCTATATATGAACATGCTCCAATACTATAATACAATAGGGCTATAAATAAACATGCTCCAATACTATAATACAATAGGGCTATATATAAACATGCTCCAATACTATAATATATTCAACAGAGCTTTATATAAACATGCTCCAATACTATAATACAATAGGGCTATATATAAACATGCTCCAATACTATAATTCAATTCAACAGCGCTTTATATGAACATGATCCAATACTATAATACAATAGGGCTATACATAAACATGCTCCAATACTATAATACAACAGGGCTATACATAAACATGCTCCAATACTATAATATATTCAACAGAGCTTTATATAAACATGCTCCAATACTATAATACAATAGGGCTATATATAAACATGCTCCAATACTATAATTCAATTCAACAGCGCTTTATATGAACATGATCCAATACTATAATACAATAGGGCTATACATAAACATGATCCAATACTATAATACAATAGGGCTATACATAAACATGCTCCAATACTATAATACAACAGGGCTATACATAAACATGCTCCAATACTATAATACAACAGGGCTATACATAGACATGCTCCAATACTTTAATACAATAGGGGTATATGTAGACATGCTCAAATACTATTATACAATATTGAAATTTTGTTATTAAGAAGGAAAAGGTTGCATTCTATAACAAAATAAAAGCTAATTACAAGTGTTGTATATTGTGGCTGATATAAAAAATAAAATGTCAGTACAGTACCATTTTTTGATTTTCCCACTAGTTCCTCCGCTTCATTCAACCTCTTGATCAGCTCTTCTTTCTGTAAACAAACACAGGAATACAATACAACTACAGTACACTAAAAACATACAATATACCTGATTAAAACCCAAAAATTCTTCAATATAGTCAGTGATCTCTCCAGGATTAGAACAACTGGGTTCCATCTGAAAATGGTTTCTATGGCCAATGGGGGCAAATTTACTTAACGCAATATTTTATAGCAACGAGTTTAGAATTAATGGCTAACAATATAAAAAGGAATAAACAGCTTGTTTCCATGACAACAACATCAGATTGCATTCTGGGAATGGTTTATTTGGCAACTAGTGACATTTTGACTGTTACTATAGTAACCAGTATTTGATTAAATAATTCTGAATCAGTTCCTATGGCAACAGTTACCAGATTGAATTTCTATTGCCATAAGTGCCAGATTGATTTGAATTTCTGTATTGGAACCAATGCAATTTTGTTTCTAAGATTGGTTCCAGTTTTTTTAATTCCAAGATCTAACATTGCAAGCAGATATTGTGTGTTAATTATCGTCTGATGCTCAGAATACTAAAAAGGATTTCTAATGTACATTACCTGTTCCTCTAACTTTTCGTATCGTCTTTTGAGATCTTCATAGTCACCAACAGCTGAAGAAAAAAATACATTATCACAGAATTAGGCTAGGATATTAAACGAAGCTTATGTATGTGTTTTGCATTTAGGGGCAAGTTCATAAAGTTCAACATGCGGAGATTGACCTTGTTCATTAAGGAAATCTATTAATTTGACAGCTCCACCATTTTCCTATACTGGTCTTTCGTATTTTGGAGAGCACACCGATGCATCACCCACAACTGAAGATCAGATGCGAAAGATGCCTGAGCAAAACTAATTCTTCCTGGTAAGGGTTTAGAGTGAGGTTATCGGCCTTATATTTTTTCCTTGGAATGATCTGTTTGGTACACATATTACTCGGGGTGGAAGGTGTGAGAATTGTGCAAAAAATGACTTTGTGAGCTGGATGGAGTTTCTCTGTATTTTTCATTCTATTAGGGTTTCCTGCATAAGGGATTTCGCCTGCGAAGCATATAACTTTTGCGATAATATCTAAATATTGGTCAGAAGAAGATATACCTTGAATTTTTTAGAAAAAAATTGGCTAAAAATGGAAACTACAAAAAGTCAAAATATTCAACTCAAACAAAACTATAGCTATTTAATATTAACACTTTGTATTATTTAATGTTTTTCAGATGTTTAGGACCTTCATTAGTGTACTAGTGTCTAGAAATAAGATAATTAAGGACAAAATTTGGCATTTTTGATCATTTTCGCTTTCAGCAGTAACATATAGTTCCTTATATTTTGAGTTTAATGTTGAGTGGTTACTGCAATTTTGATCAAATCTGTTCTTGTACATGTCTTCTTCCATTTAAGTTACAAAAAATGTATATTGGACCACATATAGTCATATTAGAGCTTTCAGATCTCCCCTACCCCATTTATTATGAAAAATTACTGAAACATATGAAAAATTAAAATAACTTGAATTTATAAACTTTAACAATGTTGTAGCTATTCTATATCAATATTATGTATTATTTAATGTTTTTCCGATATTTCAGAACCTTTATTGGTATACTAGTGCCTAGAAATGAGACATTTAAGGACAAAACTTGGCATTTTTTAAAATCATTTTAGCTTTCAGCAGTAACATATAGTTCCTCATATCTTGAGTTTTATGCTTACTGGTTGTTGCAATTTTAATCAAATCTGTTCTTGTGCATGTCTTCTTCCATTTAAGGTATAGAAAATGTATAGTGGACCACATATAGTCATATTAGAGCTTTCAGATATCCCCTACCCCATTTATAATGAAAAATTATAAGAAAAATATGAAAATATAAAATAACTTAAAACTATAAACTTTAGTAAAGTTGTAGCTATTCTATATCAATAGTATGTGTTATTTAATCTTTTTAAGATATTTCAGAACCTTTATTGGTAAACTAGTGCCTAGAAATGAGACATCTAAGGACAAAACATGGCTTTTTTTTACCATTTTCACTTTCAGCAATAACATATAGGTCCTTATATTTTGAGTTTAATGCTGACTGGTTGGTGCATTCTTAGTCAAATTTGTTCTTGTAGATGTCTTCTTTCATTTACGATATAAAAAATGTATAGTGGATGACCAATGTTCATAGTAGAGCTTTCAGATCTCCCCTACCCCATTCATTAGGAAAAATGACCGGAAAATATTAATCAAAAGTAAAATAACTTTAAATTATGAACTTTTACAAAGTTTTACCTATTCTATGTCAATACTATGTATTATTTAATCTATTTCTGATGTTTCAGGACCCTCATTAGTATTCTAATGCCTAGAAAGGACAAAACTTGGCTTTTTTTCATTTTCGCTTTCAGCAATAACGTATAGGTCCCTATATATTGAGTTTTATGCTGACTGGTTGGTGCATTCTTGGTCAGATATGTCTTCTTCCATTTAGGATATAAAAAATGTATATTGGACAACCTGGTGTTGATATTAGAGCTTTCATGTCTCCCCTGCCCCATTTATAATGTAAATGAAAAAGTAATTTCAAGTCAGAAACAAAATTATAGCTAATATTCTTCTGTAGGGTCTACTTTTCTTGTGACAGATTAACACTTACAGTTTGCTTTTCTTGTTGGGTTTCTTTAAAGTTTTTAATCACCCTTCCCTTTGGCATTTGTGCTTATACTCTATCAATACTATGTATTATTTAATGTAACCTTCATTTGATTACAGTTGAGTCTAAAATTTGGCATTTTTAGCATTCTGCATTTAGTAGCAGTAGCATATAATTTTCCACAATTATAATTCTTTGATGATAGATTCATATATGTTTTCTATTGAATCTGTCTTCTTCTTTGATTTAAGTTAAAGAAAATATATGTAAGACAACGAATGTTTTTATTAGAGGTCTAAGATCTGCCCTCCACCATTTAATAAGAAAACCAACACAAATGTTATTATTGCATGTTAATATTCTTAAACCTTTCAAAAGTTTACCACATTTATTAGCACACTAAAATCAAAAAATGACACATGAATGGGCAAAATGACCAATTTTTCACTTTCAGTTTTTTTTTATATTTTTAGTTGAATGGTGATTGTTGATATATTTTAGATCATATATATTCAATTATGTGTTATCTTCGAAGCATGGAAAATGTGTTTTAAACACAAATATACATATTAGAGATAAAAATACTACACTACCATATTTTTAAAAGATTACTCAAAAATAGAATAGTGCGAAATAATTTTGTAATTTCACAGTTTACTCTCATATGAATCGAAGGTTAAGTCTACATATAAACATGATTGTTCACAACTCTCGAACTTAATCTAGCAACAGCCTGATTTTTCAAATCTCCCTGGTTCTATGTTAGAGCTGCATTTAAGTCATTTTAAAGGTCAAAGATGCTCATGACACCACAAGCTATATATTCAGATATGTAAGATCTCTAAATAATTTTTATAGTTCTGAGAAACTCATCCTAAAATATTGTCCAATGATGTACACTATGTTGTTTATTGCCACATGGACAAGTAGCAACACACCCTTGACTAGAAACTTTGTATTTGCAATTTTCGCTGCCTTTTGTCATTTTACATTTGCCAATTGCCAAGGACATATGTTTCTTGTGTTGCTATGAAGGTTTGTTTGTGAGTACTGGTACAAGACACCCATCTTTGATATATCTTCAAATAGGTATTGCACTTTGAGATTCATATAGTAATTTAGAATGCTACCTTGAAGGACATAAGAAACCTTAAGAGGTCTTTTTAACTCTCATCCTTCTTTGCAAGCAACATTCTGTATCATCAGACTGAATACAAATTCTCTCAACATTGAATTCCTTTGTCTTGTCTGCAGCACTGTAATAGACATAGGTATAAGGAGAGTGTCAACTTCTTCATTTCACAATGTTTGCATTTACCAAAATATCCCCAAGCCCAATATCCATCATGAACTTCCTAATAGACTAGATGCCAGTAGATATAATCTTGATTTACGTCATTAAATATTCAGAATATAGTCAAATTGATATCATATTTGAAATCTACAAGTAAAAATACATCTAGAAATATGGTTACGTAAATTCTTTATCAACTTTGAAAATTTAATTTTTTCAAAATGTAATTTCAAGTTCGGGGATATTCCCCATAGAGCCCCTGTTATAAAATCACAAAAAGTTAAATATCTTTTCTTTTATTGGACATATAACATTTTCTTTAACCAGACATATTTTAATTTGCATAACTATTAGATACATAATGGTGATATGAAAATTGAACCGCTAAAACAGATGAATATTAAGTTAAAGCGAACTTTCTCCTATACCCGCCATGCTATCTGACCCGCACGAGCCACCTGGTGGTAAAACTGGTAACTACCTACTCACATCTGAGTCATTACACCACCCTTAGGTGTAATATGGAAATCACCAAGCCTTTGACAACATTGCAATTGATATGAGGGAATTCCACCAATATGGCTTGATCACTGGTTATAATTATCATACTACTATACCCAATTACATTTACATATATTTCAAGTGTTCTACTATACATTGCATAGATTCATGAGCAGTTTGCAACGTATTATTACCAGAAAGCCCAAATATACAAAGATAGAGAATACCCGTCCCATTTGCAACTCAACTTTGAATGTCTAATTTTTAGACTTATATTCTCATGAAGTTCCTGAAACATCTGAAAAATATCAAATAATACACAGTATTGATCTAGAATAGCGGCAACTTTGTTAAAGTCTATACTTGATATTGTTTGGTTTTTATATTTCTGGTTATTTTTTTTTCAAAATAAATGGGGTAGGGGAGATATGTAAGCTCTAATATAATGTCAGGTAGTCCAATATACGTGTTTAAATACCTTAAATCAAAGTAGGCAGGCAAAAGAACAGATTTGTTCAAGAAGCCATCAACAAATCAGCATAAAACTCAAGATAAAAGGAAATACAGTAATGTTATTGCTAAAAGTGGAAATGATGAAAAATTGATGAAAAATGCCAAATTTTGTTCTTAAATGTCTAATTTCTAGACACTAGTATACTAATGAAAGGTCCTGAAACATTAATTATACCATTCAATAACACATAAAGAATGGCCACATCTTTGTTAAAGTTTATACTGGTAATTTGAAGTTATTTTTTATATTTTCCGGTCATCTTCCCTAATAAATGGGGTAGGGGAGATCTGAAAGCTCTAATATGAACATTGTTTGTCCACTATACATTATCAATACCTTAAATGGAAGAAGACATGTACAAGAACAGATTTAATCAAAAATGCATCAGCCAGTCAGCATAAAACTCAAGATATAAGGATTTATATGTTATTGCTGAAAGCAGCATTGATTAAAAAATGCCAAGTTTTGTCCTTAAATGTCTCATTTCTAGCCACTTGAATACCAATAAAGGTTTTTAAAAATCTTAAAAACATTAAATAACACATAATATTGATATAGAACAGCTACAACTTTATTAAAGTTTATAATTTCAAGTTATTTTACATTTTCGTATTTCTCGTTTATTTTCCATAATAGATGGGGTAGGGGATATCTGAAAGCTCTAATATGAACATTGTTTGTCCACTATACATTTTCTATACCTTAAATGGAAGAAGACATGCACAAGAAAAGATTTGATTGAAAATGAAACAATCAGACAGCATAAAACTCAAGATATGAGGAAGAAAGTGAAAATGATAAAAGAAATGCAAAGTTTTGTCCTTAAATGTCTCATTTCTAGCCACTTGTATACCGATAAAGGTTCTCAAATATCTTAAAAACATTAAATAACACATAATATTGATATAGAATAGCTACAGCTTTGTTAAAGTTTATAATGTCAAGTTATTTTATTTTTTCATATTTTGGGGTAATTTTGCATAATAAATGGGGTAGGGGAGATCTGAACGCTCTCATATGAACATTGGTTGTCCACTATTCATTTTCTATACCTTAAATGGAAGAACACATGTACAAGCACACATTTAATCAAAATTGCAACAACCAGTCAGCATTGAACTCAAGATATAAGGAACTATATGTTAATGCTGAAAGCGAAAATGATTAAAAAATGCCAAATTTTGTCCTTAAATGTCACATTTCTAGACACAAGTACACTAATGAAGGTCCTGAAACATCTGAGAAATCTTACATAACACATAATATTGATATAGAATAGCTACAACTTTGTTTGAGTTGAACATTTTGACTTTTTGTAGTTTCCATTTTTAGCCAATTCTTTTCTAAAATATTCAAGGTATGTCTTCTTCGGACCAGTACTTAGATATGTTCGCAAGAGTTATATGCTTCGCAGGCGAAATCCCTTATGCAGGACACCCTGATAGAATAAAAAAAAAACAGAAATTCCATCCAGCTCAAAAAGTCATTTTTTCCTTAACGGAGCCTCTTAGAAAATTTTCCACCCCGAGTATATGTCTCTGGTACACAGATAAGGGGGGTGGGTTCTTTTTGGTTTTTTTTGGTTCCAATGTCATCCTTCAAGATCGGGCCTCACTTAGCTTAGGAAAGAATTGAAATACCCTTGAACCAAGGATACTCCAATGTCTGTGCTTCTAACTGACCCAGCCTACATGTACATGTATTTTTGAAAAAAGTTTGCTGAAACTCCCTAAACTAACTTCCTCTTTTACTTTATAACCTGGCAAAAATTTTGCATCTGAAATGTTATATATTCGTCAATATACTATTGCACCGGTTCTTTATGCATATTGATTATGACAAGACTCATTGTTCGTCAAAGTAAATACTAAAAAAAGTGATTCGGTCTTTCTGAAGACCGTGAAGTTTCATCCAAGATTGGGTGATAAGTCACAGTTCCACAACAGATTTGAAATAAGTAAGACATAAACAGTATATTCATGTACCTTTATTGGCAAGTCTTTTTAACTGTCCGAACCTAAATTCACTCGTTTCATACTTTTTCTTCCACAGCGAAGTTTCGTCTGCCATTTTTTTCAACCAGGAAGTTCTAATGCGGAAGTAAAAAGTTTTAAACTAAAACAGTTCGTTCAGTGCGATTCTTCCGCTGAGCAGATACTTAATACCCCGGGAACTTTATACGGAACGTGCCACGGCTCTATTGGTCACAGTCAACGAAGTTTAATTTGGGCAAAACAAAATCACCTTTGTTATGAAGCAAAATAATACAAGACAAGGCTTTGGTTATGGTGCCAATAAAACCTAGACACATTAATTTGAACACTACCTGGCTTAAGGTTTGGTCTATTTGTTCCACGCTTGCCCCATGTCGGGCGTACGGTCGACTTGTGGCTACCCGGGGGACTTATGAGTTGCATTTGACTTTTGCGAATCGCGAGGCGACCATAGGGTCGGTGTCTGCCTTTGATATTTGTGGAATAAAGTATGCCCAACCGCGTTTGGATGCATGCCCTATGGTGACCATGCGTCGTCATTTAAAAGGCCATACGGTAACCGTAGTAAGTCTCCATAAAATTAAAATCGAAACACGCCGCAGGGCTAGCGTCTCAAACGTGACTGATAAAGTATCTGACCGTAGAATTTCCACGGCAGCCATATTGCTTTTGAAATAAGAGGACGTAGGGCTACTTTTGTCAGTTTACTAATGGCATATTAATTACTGATCATTAATACGTCTTTGCTTTAGTATTGTGCCGTGATTACATTCTTAAACCAAATTAATTTGATTGCAAAAAACATATTAGGGGACAGCAGGGTAAGAAGGGCCGTGGGGCAAGACGGACCAGCAAGCTTATTGTTTTAAAAGTATAAATCGCCTGATACTATTCTGACATGGGATGTCAGAATAATCATGACACTGACCTCACTCGACGTTCATTTTGTTTCATTTAGGCGCCATATTCATTCGGCGGTACTTTCCACAAAAGTGGCCCTTTTTGCCCTACTTCAGTAAGACTTTGGTAAAACCTACAATTCGAAGAAGGTTTCTGATAGAACAGACCCAACTCGACGGAATAACGTCCTTCCCGTTTATAAAGGTTCACAGTAGGTTCTCATAAAAATCTGAGAACGTCTGTGGATAATTCAGTAATATATTAGGACGTATTGCACACGTTTTATGACGGTCGAGAACGAGTTTGATGTAATAGGGGGGTCGGATAAAGAGGAGGGGAACCCCCAGAGTTCAAACAATTTGTAAACGAACTATTGAATGGAATTTAGACATAAAAGGCCACTTTTGAAGGGTTTAAAAGAAATCTACAAAAATACTATCAATTTGACGTTAATTTGAGAAAGGGGCAAAGTTGAGAAAAACACGACAATTATTTTGAGTCCATCTGTAAATGTATTCAACGTTATTTTTAGGAGACTCTTGCAATACACTCCAAATAAATTTACATAATATACAGAACAAACTATTTAAACTATCCAGTCAGTTCTTTATAAGTAATCCCCACAATTATTGTGTCCATTTATTTGATATCTTTTTTGCACGAACAACCAAACATCGGGCAGGCTGTTTCCATGGGAATAACAATGTCATCAAAGATCAGATCCTTATCGGAAAGGCTGCATATCAAACCTTCGCCGCATCTAAAAATAACAAATAACACTTCATTTCTGTATAAATTCATCACTCTGGTAACATATTAATATTTTGAATCTTGATAAAGCTAGTTGGATGATTAGCGAAACGTCGAAAATAAAACATTTTACTCTGAAGTAAATGAACTTAAGTTATTACTAACACGTTATTGTATTTGTTTTCTGCTCCACGACAATTTAAAAGAACAATTTTCACTAACAAATCGTCGCGTGAGAATAACTTTGTACTAACTGCCATTTTCAAAAAAATTGAGATAGACATGGAATTTTACTATTTGAAACACAGGCTTTCATCTCAGATACATGCCCCATCTCAATTCCCTCTCATTAAGCTAGAATTCAGTGTGAAATTGTACCATCTCCAGACAAACAGCTTATTTCTAATTTCAAATTGTCATATCTGATATCAACTGTTTCAACCAATCAACTGTCTAAGAATTGGTCATGTGACTTGCAAAACTTGGAGTTATAACAATCTTATATTAAAACGAAGTATGCCAATATGCATGTTATTGTATCTAGAATGAAATAATGTTTTGTAACACAATACCATGCCAGTTTGCATGCCTGGCCTTTCATGTTTTAGTTTTAGAACTATTACAAGTAGATCAAAAAAATAAAATGATACAATATGTGTAATCCCATGCATATTCAAATTATATGCCCTCAATTACTCTTTGTATTATGGATGCTCATTGGATTATTCATGGCCACATGATATGAAATAGAATTACTAATTTCCTCGAAAACCTAAATCCTCGCTACCAGGGAAGATGAAAAGTACAAATGACCAGTTAATTAGATCATGTGAGCAGTCAAAAGTACCCTTTATCTTCCCTGCTACCAGGTCTTATAGGGGTTTGAATGGCCAAATGCAATAGAAATGCATATACGAAGCTGTCATCATTAAATGTTGAAAATGAAAGACTACTTATTTGTTTCTTCAAATAGAGTACATAGAGATTATCCTATATGAGGTTCAGGATATTGGGATTATCCCGAGGCCAATATAATATATTTGCCCGAGGGCCGCAGGTTTATCCCATACCAATCTTGGTCAGATCTGGTCTCCATTGTCGTGTACAGTCATTACGCGAACGTTACAAATTATGAACAAATATGCGAGCGGCGATTATGACGTAGCGGGCAGATATACTATATCTGCCCGCTCAGAGCGGGACGTATAGCTATATCTGCCCGCTGATGAAAATATAAGTTTTTACAAACCGGCTTTATGTACCTGTAACACGTCCAAGTATGGGATAAATAATAATAGGTTATATACTAGATATAGTAATCAAAACAAATAGTAACTGTCATATTTTGCAAAGGCTCAAAGGCAATCACTGTCTGTATACTATTGAAATCTCTTTCAAAATGATGTTTTATAATTTGTGGAAAAAAGCTAAATCTATTTAAACTAGCTTTAACTTTAACTGACCATACACTATATCAACTATAAGGAGTTATCTTTATGTTAGTATAGTCCCTTAAAACACTTATTTTATTTTCTCTTCATCTATGATTTACTTTGCGCTTTTCACTGAACATCTGGGATCTTTTTAGTTATTTTATTACTAGTATGTTTTTCAGATTTGTCTTTTCTTTTGCATTTTTGGGATCATTGTTTTTAGATCATCTACATTTTATTTTGGAAAAGTAACAAATTGGTTCAATTTCTTTACAAAGAGCCACTCTTAGTCTCCACTTCTACAATTGCTTCAATTCCCAATTGTACTCCACAGAGTAGCAAACAACAGAAAATGAATGGATAATGATAGCTGCATCCCAATGAACAAAATGTGATTACCTAAATCGAGGTTTCATCACTTTCATTAATCTAAAATGAATTAGAATTTATATTTATATTTTCAAATTTCTTCCATGTGCATGTAATAAAAATTGGTTATGTCTTAGGCCCTAAGGATCTGAAACCTGCTGGTCAAAATGGAATTACGGACCAGTTGCAATGTTATTCTCCTATACCCAGTGAAAAAATCAACTGGTCTGTATCAAAAATAACCTGATAATGACCAGCGAACCGACCCTTAGGGGCTACATTGTAATGTGCTGGGAGGTTTAGGCTACAGGGTTTATACCGAGGGAAATATGTGGGGGACCGTATTGGCATCATTGGTTTCAATGCATTGTACTTCTGCCTTAGTTTCAAAGGCAATAAATTCTTTTTGAAGGGTGTCCTGAGATTCCAAAATTAAGAAATAATTGTACTGTCTTATTTGAGAAATTGATTTTAAAGTTTTATAAATTGAATTTTCTTTATTTTATTAAATAATATTCTTTGGTTTTTGAAGACTTTTTTACAAAGCAAAACATTATTTTTCATTCTAGATACAATAACATGCATATTTGCATACTTTGTTTTAATATAAGATTGTTATAACTCCAAGTTTTGCAAGTCACATGACCAATTCTTAGAGAGTTGATTGGTTGAAACAGTTGATATCAGATATGACAATTTGAAATTAGAAATAAGCTGTTATTCCGGTGGGAAATTGTATCAACTCCATTTCCATAGTTTTAAAAAAGGATCTTGTAAATTGTTTCAAGATATGATATTCCATATAAGATATCTCTAGGGTGAGACCAGGTGACATACAAAAAATCAAGTTTCACATAGCAATACTAAGTAAGATACAGACCTCTAAACTTTCAAACCTTGATTTCTCAGTTCCGTAAAAATGTGAGATAGTACAAAGTTATTCTCATGCGACGAAATGGAGATCAAAAACACTATTTTTACCCAATCAATCGATTGGTTCTTTTATTTCCTGAAACTTTGAAGATATATTCGATGTGATGAAAATACAGGGTGTTCAAAAAATCGCAACCCAAAGAAATCGCTATGTCGTGGAAAATACTTATCAAATTCCACTCATTTTTTTCAGGAAAGAAAGAAGAGACTGTGTATGTAGAGCTCCTGTAGTTGATTGTTTGTAAAACATGAAGCCTTGGACACCTGCTCAAAATACATTAGTATTAGAAAGATACGAAAACGCAGTCAAAGGTGACTGCCACAGCAATAGAACTGAATAACTTTCTAACCATAGTGCTTTGGCACTTCAGATTTGGCACAAGTTAACCTCATTCAATGTGTGGTGAATTTTGGAGTTTCATCAAAATCACTTTAGGGACTTCACATTCATGGTCAAAATACCTTCTTAAGTCTGCCTGAACCAGGGCGTTTGACTGCGTTTTGAATGCGTGTTGAATGCATTTTCCCTGGAGTGATTTTGATTTCACTCTTCCGATTTACCATACTTTGAATGAAGATGATTTGTGCCAAATTTGAAGAGCTAAAATACTATGATTAGAAAGTTATTCGGTTTTATTGCTGTGGCAGTCACCCCTGACTGCGTTTTTCGTATCTTTCTTACACTTATGTCTTTTGAGCAGGTGTCTAAGGCATCATGTTTTATAACTTACCAACTACAGGAGCTCTACATATCAGTCTCTTCTTTCTTTCCTGAAAAAATGAACATAATTGCAATTAGTATTTTCCAAGATATAGCGACTTCTTTTGGTTGCGGTTTTTTGGACACCCTGTATGTTCCATTGTTTTGGTCAACCTTGTAGTTGTATTAAGAATTTGTTATAATCTGAATGCAATTCGCTGTATTTGTGCTGTTTATTTGCGTTTTGTAGCGAGTATCATTACTCATCAATGTTTTGTAATATGCCTTTGTGTTAATCAGAATTTTAACATTTCATCTCATCGGCATTGTAACATTTCGTGATAATATGAAAACAAGGGATTAACATGCAAAATGTCACCACTTGTCATTTGTTACAGACGCCGACCACTGTAACAGATGCCGAACGCTGTTACAGGCGTACAGGTAGAGATTAAAAGGGGGATTGGATCGAGTATATTGGATTCATGTAAAAGGTGGATTGGATCAGGAATCTTCAAAATATAGAATTTCTTTCTTTTGATTTTTTCTTTTAATTTTCCTCTAGCTATTTCCATCTATAAAATATTGAGTCCCTTTGAGAAATCAGAACAAAGCAAAGACAAACACATACTCTGATAAGATGATGAATACTCCTAAGTATTCAACTGCTTTCCCTTGTAAACCTACCTTTGTAAGACATAATAAACATAGATCTGTAGATAAAAGCTGTCATTCAAATTGGCGTGCGAATGATCTAAAACAATGTCTGCTACATATGTATGTTCTGATTGGTCTGAAAAGGGATGATATGGATCTTCAAACCAGTCTATCTATGATGTATGAAATGTCCTTAAAATTACACTTGGAATGAATAAGATACTGTATCACCCTTCTAGACCACCCAAGCAAAATAATATTACATCTTTTATTTGACATTATGGAAGTGAAGAGAGGACCCATCTTCTTAGAGGGAGATCAATAGATTTTTTAAGGAAAATCCATATTTTGAAGATTCGCGATCCAATCCACCTTTTACATGGATCCAATCCACTCGATCCAATCCACCTTTTAATCTTTACCTTTCACCAAGTCTTTCTCTTACTTAAGGCTAAGTCAATATATACATTTGAAATGTATTCGAATCATACCTTGCTGGAAATTGGGACCCACACGGCTCATTTTCTCCTAAAGCACAAACAGCACAGCAGCCATAACTATCTTTTTCGCAGTCGGATTTTATCGTTGGACATTTTTGGTTCACCTTGCATTTCACCTCATCAAATGCACCAGTATAGAGTGTCATCTGGGCTCCAAAAAGTACGATCCACATTAGTTTATAATTATCCATCATGATGCTGACATTTTTACTTCTTTTTAGCACGTAGTAAAATTTCAATACAACATCCCTTGAATTCTTTTCGGTTTCTATTTTATCAAGTTGCTGTTTACAATCAACAGTAAGATTGTGCTCGTGGCTGAGAATAACTCTTACATTGATAGGTGATCACCTTTATAATATTGCCTCTAACCATTTTTACATTGTTGGTGTCACATCAATGTAAACAAGACATTGAGAATCTGTTTCAGTGGTATAAATGCGTATAACGAAGTTAAATGTAGTCTTGCTTCAAGACCCTGGACTATCTACTTTAACAACTGGTTGTTAGAGTAAATAGTCCAGTTAAATGCAGAAACAACAAAGTATAGAATCATTTTGACTTCGGAGTGAATCTCTTTTAGAATGAATTATGTTCATTCTTGTACATCCCCTCTCTCCCTCCCTCGTTTCTTTTCTCTCATAACTACTAGCTAACATCCTTCCTTCATGAATAAGAATGTATTCATTTTTGTCATTTATTGTCTCATTTGCTGCAATATTACAGCAATAACATGATGAACATTATATTTTGGAATATTTACCATGTAATTGGGACGGGAGATTAAATTCTGGTCACAAAAGTTACAGATCTAGAACACCAGTTTCAGATTTAGATTCACTAAGAAAAAAGATTTAATTCTTAATTAAGTGTTCATCAGTATCCTTGATGGTTCAGTTAACGTTACAAACATATGGAAAAAGTGGCATAAACAGTTAAGTTAGTGAAGTCACAATCATTGCCAGTGCCGTCTGTCATCTTATGAAAGATTACTCATGAAAGATAACGTTCAACGCCCCTTCACATTGCCACCGTGATCTCTACACACAGAGATTGGCTTGTCTCTACATGTCACGAATACCTCTTTAGATCATCTGTGGGTTCTGGCGGAGAGCGGCAACGTAACCTCATAGGTGATTCTCTGTCAACTATTGTAATGTCTAAAACCTGGTCCATTATTGTGCAAAGGTAATGATTATTCAGTGGTCTGTGGTCATATATGAATAAATGCATACCATTGGAAAGAGGAGAAACGTGGCTTCATGGTAAAATAAATGAAATTGATTTTATCATCACTGGTGTCGTGGTTTTACAATGATTTTGTTTGCTTGTTGTGATTTTTTGGACGCACTGTATTAAATATTAGACATCATTTGGAATATTATCCCCGAGAAGTACATAAAACCACTACAAATTTTTGCACACATTTTTGTAAATCGTTGCTGTTGAACCTGATTTAGACCATGCCATTTCATTTTATGATATTCTTTCAATATTTTACAAATAGTTTCCATCCTTGTTTAACAACTGCAGGATTGTTTGTGTCTATTGTTTCACAGTCACCAGCGTTGTCATCCAAATAAAATGCAAAGCATTCATCATTTTTTGCACACAATCTCGCACAGGCTGTATAGCTGCTTTTGTAGTAAAATGAGACCGTTTCCAATGTTTTTGATCCAGGATGAGCCATCGCCATAGTTTCGATGAAAAAGAATGGTTTGCAGGTTGCTAAAATATAATAGAATATTGTGGTTCACAATACTGTATTGAGGATTCTAAATATAAATAATACAGAGAGCGACATCAAGATAGCTGAAGTTTACCAACATCCCCTATAGCCTATATGCAATTTACTCATAATGAATACTACTTAAAACATAATTTATCAATTCAAAGTGCATGTACTTACCCTGTAAAGGAATCCTTTCCGAAAATAGTAAATCAACATGACATGGAATCGCAAGGTTAAAATTGCCAGAATATTTCTTTGATAGCTGGCAATTCTTGTTTGGTTGCCACTCAACAGACCAGCATAGAAAAGATGTTTCATCCAAACACAATTGTTTGCACTCTTCATATGTAAGAATATTGGAGTAAATGGCATCGTTTTCATTAGGCACACATACACTTCCGAGGTCTACCATATCAGTTGATGGAACTGAAATAAAATGTGAGTGACAGACAATCTCGAACCCGGAATTACGATCTCTAAGGCGTTAGCAAGACTTTCGAGCATGCAAAAACATCCACCGCGCTATTTTTTAACAAAAAGGTGTTAACATTTTACTGACCGCAGGGAGAATTAACACCAGAGTTCAAAGATGACCTATGCTTATAGTGTTAACCTGTATTAAGATGACCTACGTATCTGATTGGTCAAAATCGACAAAAATGGCGGCTTAAAAATTTTCGATATACGCTTCCAATGATATTAATATGTTCATTTCTCGCGTGTTAACCAATGTCTTAGCTTCTCATTTCATATCAAGATAAAGAAAGGTGTACGAAATATGCCTACATCAAATAAAATATCACATCGAAGCGTAGTATTTGGAAACCAGCCGGTGAAAATTCGAACAAATGAAGGTGGTAAGCAAACAAGAGACTGTTATCTCTAAGCTCTGCTTTCCCTCCTCTTTACCGACCGCTATGAGATGTGGACAGAATCAGGGACATTCCATGTAATTGGAATTTTGCACATATTATTAATCTATTCTATCTATTATCTAATCTAATCTATTCTAGTTATATGTAAGTACATAAAGTAAAGTTGTAAATGCTAAAACTCACTTTCATATATTGTGGCTAATTGCGTGGGGCCAAGAGAACTTGGAGATGACGTCATCATAGTTGCAAGAGGAAACCCAACAGTGGTTATGAATATATTCGAGGATCTGAAATATATGTAAGATGCCATTATAAGCAGTCTGTATAAGTAGATAATATTTGGTCAAAGACTCATAAAACCATCAGTGCCATAAAATGACCAGAAGGCGCCTGTAGGAAATGACCAAAATACAGAGCAAAGTGTAACAAACCAGATACAGGTATGAAAAAATGTACTAAATTCAACGCGCCCTTTGGGAATCGAGCATCAGATCCAAAGCCTCATATCCTACCAATTGATCTAAACCAGGATGGCTGCATACTCCGAACACAGGCCTCCAGAACTCTTACCTCCTTCTTCCATACGAGTTCTGGAGGCATGTGTTTTGGGGATTGTGTGACTGTGCTGTTGAAGCAACTTTCTATCCTGGGCCAGTCATGATTAATAACCCTGATTTCACGAGCAGCGACATCCCACACGTACACAAGAGCGCAAAAGATCACACTACTCATAATGTTATAGTTGTAATATTTATACTAATTCACATAGTCAAAATTATCTTAAATTCCTACCTATATGTGTACATTGATATATCAATACCCCACATGATCAATTCATCGAGGCAGTTCGAAGCAGGGCTAACACCTCCACCGATAACGTCACCAGACACAATACCCATTACAACCATGCCATTAGTTTGCTATAATATGAAAAATGTATTGAACCATGCTCTGAAACAGTGACAAAATAGGAGACTATAAGCATCAATCAATCAATCAAAAATTCATGGTTCTGTGACATCACCCCATATTTTTTTTATTAAAGTATTCACATTTTAAAATGAAATGTACAGTCAGAATGCATAACATTTCTTTGCCCATTCTGTATATTTATAGCAAGTTTATCCAGGAATTCATTTAAACCTACCTGACTGACAAAATCCTTACACTTCAAAGAAGAAGCCTCATCGAGTAAATCAAAGGATATTACTTGTTTTCGAACACATGTTTTTTGACACATATCCACTGTCACAAAGAAGCTGTAAAACATGTGTAAACTATTTTCAAGGCATCAAAAATGAATATACAGAGAGGTCCACGACGTCCGAAATAGACGCAAATTGAAAAACTGAAATGAATTTTTGCATCAAAATATATAGCATGATTTCATTTAAAATGTAGTATACAAGAGTTACAATCAAATCAAAATCAAGACATTACGGGAAACAATTTTGGTGATCAAGATCCGGGCCGGGCGCCGTAGAAAAAATCGGAGCAAATGTGACCAAGGCATAAAGGTTGTTGAGTAACGAATCATATGATTACCGATAATCATTTTTTGTTCCAGAAAACTATGATTGGTTCATTGATTTGTTTTATGTGTATTGGGTGTAATCATCGATAATAATAATCGAATTGTTAACCCTATAGCAGACAATTGCAATCCTTTTTTTGAAAATATATAAATGGCAAATGCTACCATTTTATCGAAAATCTTGTTGGCGTACTGTATATTGGAAACACCGAAATAATGATAATTGAAATCAAGAAAACCTTTTGTTCCACCCAAAGACAAACTCTTTTGTTGATGAAATTCATGTGTGTTTTGGTTAATCTATGGAACAGAGATGCAATTGAGACGGAAAAACAATCAAGTCAATCGATGATATATTAAATAAAAAGTAGCAATATCCTAAAATACCATATCCATGAATAAAAATCATCTACTTCGAAGGTTTTCTTGCCTAATCTATTTAAAAAATGAACTATGAAAATTGAAATGATGAACCATATTTTTTTCATACATAGCACTCACATTCCTCTAGATGTTGTTGGTACATCTACCAGCGTCTTGCCATCTATTTTGATGTAACTCGACACACCAGGGTCAGACACTACAGGGTCATCATATGCTACAGATTTCAAATCAACGTCACATGCCCCATATCCAAATTCTAAAATAAGAGGGAAAATAACTGAAAGGAGTGGTATCGTGAACTTTTATATATATTTTGTATATGGTGAACTTTTTGAACACGCGTTTCTCTTAAACCAGTCATCAAAACATTCTGGAAATTTTACTGGTCATCTTTTGGATGGTAACATTATAATTTGAAAGGTACTTCTCTATATTGTTTTCGAAAACACATCAGACACTTCTTTTGTTCTTGGTATCATATGTTCGGATTGAAATGAAACATCTATCCAAACCTCATTGGAACAAAACGACATAAACACAACGTGTTAAGGTCTCTCAATATCGTAATTGTACAAAGGAAAGTTTGGTTGAGTTTTTACATACTTTTTGTTAAACCAACCGTTTCCTTTGTATAACAGTAACTATATATTGAGAGGTCTAAGAAAATGTTGAATAAGCTATTTTGTTCAAACAAGCTTTGGAAAGACATTTTATTTCATTCTCAAGAATGGGTAGAAAGGAAAAAAACAATTGCACTGAAAAACAAAAAATGTTAACAAAAACATAAAATAAATGTAAATATTTTTTGCATTAAATTGTAGTCAATCAGTCAACATTACATAAAGGACTCTGGTTTTTACAGAATGTTTTCAATAATTGGTTTTAGTGAAAAACATTGTTAAATTCAGTTCGCCATATCGATACCTATCCTTTGTGTGAACAAAATTCTAATATGTAAAGAAGAAAATAACGGTGGCAAAAAAGTGTAAGCCACCATAATGCAAATAAAGATTAAGGATCACTATTTAAGTCATGGAAAAAATAATACTTACCAAACGTTTTGAAATAAACCAAAATGATGAATAGTTTTTGCGAACTTCCGAAGGTTGCCATAGTGGTTTCCTGCTAGAAAAGCCCTGATTTCAAAACTATTTATTTTATCATTTATTCTTCAATATAGGCTATTAATGGTTTAAAGGAAATCAATGTTCTCCAAGAGCAGGAAGAAATAATTGATATCGCTTTGACAATGATTATAGTGTTTACAAAACTGATGAATCTCTGCTACAGTATACTGGATAGGCACAGCTACAAGTAGACAAGATGTGTCCAATTCAAGCCAATCAGAACACAGGTTTTTCATATAATTGGATTGCGTCTAATGCACCCAAGGTTATTTTTCGATTTCATCAATTTTATAATTCCAAGTTGGCTGTCAATTTGATTGTTCTTTTCACTCTCCCACCTATTGTATTAAATTATAAGGAGTCTCAGATTTATATCAAAATCTTATTGTTGTAATTAAGGGTGTTATATTTTATTATTTTGCAAAAATTCCTTGCAAAAAGTCATTCTTTCAAGTGATACTGTACACAATCTTTTGGAATGCGTAAAAAGAATTTAAGTACATGACCCATTGAATTGTGGATGATTTGATCCACTTTTTGTCTTGTATCATTGAATTGAATTCGTGCTACGGCACTCATCTAAAGTCAGGAAACAAGACATTCGTTGTAAAATCATATATATGACGTGCACGGACCTGGGGACAATTCGGGAAATGCGGGCTTATCTCAGCTTTGAACGTTAATCTCTGCCTTATTTAAAAAGCCAACTTTGTGTTTTACATATCATTTTGAAGTATTTTTTATTCGCATTTCAATGAAATTATTTTTCCTGCAAAATTTTGATGGGATCCAACACATTTTTAAAGTTAAATATACTCCGACATCGTCAAATACGCTGTAAGACGTAACACTTTACGCTTACAGGGCTCGTTGAAATTGAGATAACTTTTGAAATAATGATCAAAATCCCACTTAAATTTCACAATTTATTCAATGGAACATTTGCATTCATGATGTCACAATTGCTTAACGGCTACATTTCAAATTATCTTATACGAACGCTTTTAAAATTTTCAAAATTGTGTAAGGTTTTGAAGGCGAATGGGACGAGCAATAAGTTTACCTTCATTTAACCTTCTAATTTAGGTCTGATTTGAAAGAAAATTTAACTGCACAATATTGTCATGGCGAAATTTACAAAACAATAACCGGTTTGTTTATTTTGCAAATAATATCAAAATAAGAGCTGGTTTTCGAGACTTGAAAAAATGTGACGCATCGATTTTTTACCACAAATTCCATACGTATCAATTTTTACTAACGCCCCAAGTGGATTTCTTGACCGTTTTTCAAAATTCAAAAACATTTTAGAAATATTGTCCTCGAGATCTTGCTACCCTGTAAATTTTGTAATGATTAGATAAGGATAAAGTATTTTATTTTGAGGTTGACTAAACTTGTAAAAAATGTGACGCTTGTCGTTTTTGACGTTGTAAGGCTGTTTGCGCCCTATACTGCTCATTGTTTTTTTGACGCCATAATGTTACGCTAATTGTCCCCAGTTTCATGCGACGTGTAATAACAATTTATTGAGTCATGGACTTTATCATTGATAAAATATTGTAATTTATAAAGCTACTGATAAAACATATCTGCATTTTAACAGCTATTAACTGGGTAATTCCACAATAGAATGTTCTCATACAAACCATTAGGGAACCATTGAAATCTTCGGATTAACCCATTGATTTAATTAGTATTTTTATATGATTTTTATGTTTTTCTAGCCCGCGTAGCATAACTAAGAAAAAAATTAGTTTCGTTGAAAAAAGTTTTTTGGGGATATTTTCCAGAGGCGTCCCAAATATGATAACACTTTGGGTTAAGAAGTTATGATTTTTTGTTTGTAAAACCTATTTGTAATATCATAACTTTATGTACTAGGGCCGATTGAACGTTTTATCTTTAAAACTTCTATGGTGTAGACATATCAATGACAATGCTATTAACTTATGCAATGTCAATGGACTCAAAGATTATTACATACAAACGTCAATAATCGGAAAAGAAATGTTATTTGCAAAATCATACAAGGTCCACCCTTTATAAATATACAGGGTATAGTTTTGTTTTTTAACGGTTTCATTGATTTATCAAACTGTATTTATACCAATGTCAATGCTATTAATTAATGCAGTTAATAGTTACGTAACTTAACAATGTCAATAATCGGAGAAGAAAATATAAAAAATTTATGCGATATGCAAAACTGCTCATGTAATATTCTAAAGGACTGTTGATTAGGATTTGATAAACAACAGGTCAACATTTGTTTCCCTTCAACCGCTTATCGAAAAATATCTGAAAAATACACGAATTCTCAAAAAGTGATCATGAAATGGCAACAACTTAATTTAATGATATTCATATATCTTTTATATAATTGCTTTAGTAGACTCAGTTACCTACATTGTCTTTTGTTCTTTTCTTCCAATTCTTTGTAATAGATGTAACATTTCTAACCCTCATTGGAACAGAATGACATATATACACTTTGTACCTATATACCTATTACGTGTGCCCCTTCAACAAACGTAATGAGGGCTCTATCATTTTAACCACGCTAATTTTGGGTCTTTTTTATTTTTTATAATTAGTAGAATTGTTTAACGAATAATTTCTTCAGTCAATGGGCCTAAATGCCAGGGTACCCAAATAAGCTTCATACATGTCATAATGTTAATTTGAGATCGTGTTTCCTGGTCGTGAATCCTAAGCACGGGATCGCCACAACTAGACAATAAAAATGAGGACGAATTAAAATTTCAACAAATGCACAGAGGTACCCGTTGCATCCGCACAACTTCGCTTTTTAAAAGAGAGCTTCTAATTTATAACTAGATTCTACGTGCATGGAAGCATAGAAGTAGAGTTAAATGCATTTTTAGTTGTTTTATTGTCATTATGTTTTATTAATATATATTTCATATACAGCCTATACTGTAATGACTAAAGAATAACACAGTTTTTAGCTTTTTTTGTAGCTTTCTGCCATTTTCCTCTCACAACCATTCTGTTTTTAAGAACCTCTGCTATCTCATCAAAACCATTGTCGATGGAAACATCATATGGCATTTTGACAAGCTGGAAGAATAGGGTTAATAGCTTTGAATTAATTGTTGACGACAGCTCATGGAAAAGATACGTTTTATTTGAAGGATAAAAATGTATGCAATTTGCTTTCAGAATACACTTAACAAATACGTGCAGAAATGTCTTTGATGAAAATGGACCTCCATTCATTAACATGACTGTCTAAAAGTTTTATACCAATATAACTACAATACTACAGTATCAGAGCTTTCAAGAATATAATTTCAAAAAGCATAGCTCATAAGATCGCTGTACTTGTGAAGCCATGAACATCATTGCAATTGCATTTTTAAAACACACCTTGACCGTTCAATTTAGTCGGCCTTATTATTTATTCTACAAGAAATATACTAGTTAAGATCAACAATTGCGCTTTTCTCTAAAATTCTAAATAAAAATGGCGCCACAACCCAAAAATTCAATAAAGGGACGTCAAAAAGCTACAGGGGACAAAATTAACACTTCGTATTTCGAACCTTTGGAATCAAAAATACAATACCTTATTTTCGATGGACTCGTTTGCACCAAGATCAAGTAATTTTCTGACTACATTCACCATTCCCCTGGATGTCGCCATATGTAGGGCTGTATCACCTGACTGAAACAGAACACATATACAGTACGTGTGGGTCTAAAAATTGTATGATGTTATTACGAGATTTATCTTGATTAATCTCATCGAGAAAGGTAGTTTTCGATTTAAAACATTTTAATATTTCTTTTATTTTAAAACTAAGTCTTATAAAATGTGCTGTTAGCAACTTGTTTCGATGGTTTCTTTAAAAAGAGACTTTTGTTATTGACGAAGCAAAACTGTTTTAAACATGCAATTTATGGAGTAACAGCTGTTTACTTACAGTTGTCACTGTAGCATCAACATCTGCTCCATCCTCTATTAGTAACGGAAGAAGAGAAATGATTTTGTCTTCATTGAATGACTTATCTTCAAGTATCTCATGAATTGGGCACCTCCCCTCCTAATAAAAAAGAATGAATCATATTATGGATGACCAGACTGAAGTAAAACGGTTACTGTATGTGGTTGACATTCTAACGTGTTAATTAAATATTTTACAATCTTACTATTTGGGAGTTTGTACAACATGGAAGAGTAATACAGAAGTGTACGGAATGAAGACACCTTATTTTGACATCATTCCATTTGTTTGAAATTGAATATAATTTACAAATGGGAAATGGCTAATTAGTATGCAAATGACTGTTTTAACACTCTATTTACTCTTTCTCTTATATACAATTACTCACGTCATTTCTTATGTTGGGGTCCTTGCCCCAAGGTCTAACATTTTCAATTTCATCTATCGTGTCTTCTAGAACTGGAGTCTTAGGAGCTGGAGTTGGCGGAATGGGTGTCTTATGTTTTACCGGGGTTTCGGGCGGGCTTGGTGTTTTTGTTTTTGCAGGAGTTTTGGGCGGGCTTGGTGTTTTAGTTTTTGCAGGAGTTTTGGGAGGGTTGGGCGTTTCAGTTTTTACCGGGGATTCTTGTCGGACTGGACTTGTTGGAGGAGACAACAACTCTAAAATATTGAGCAGCTTTCTTTGTTTTGCGACGTCCGCTGCATCCCGCCCATCCTAAATTAAAAATGACTCAGATACTGATATGCACATGTGGGCATTTGGATATAGCCAATTACAATTATTTTTTGATTGATCTTTAATCTTTAGGTTAAAAGTACAGTTTTCGCTAAGGTTTAATATAACGCATTCATTTCAATTATAGTCTTGCCCATTATGGGCTCCGCTGCCTGTACAATATCTAAAGAAAGATGTGGGATACAAAATTAAGGACCAATCAAAATACAGAATTAAGTATTGTTACATTCATAGAAAGTCATATTTTCATATAATCTTGTGTAAACGCTTTACAAAGATTAAATGGTCATTTGACCACAACTTAGAAAACCCAATGTGTTTGATCAGGAAGAGCAAAAAATAAATTAGTTAATAAGAATTGGCTTGGTTTGATGTTTGTTTTGTAAAAATCAAAACGGGTAATCGAAGAGACAATGCGATATGGCCTATTGTTAACAGAAACATAGTCACTACTATTTATTTAATATAAAGTTGTAATAAAACAAATATGAAAATAAATCTATATGTTATAGCTATATACAGCTTTATTTACCGTATATCGCTGTTTACTTGTAGTGTGCATTTCATAAAACAGAGGACTCTGATAAATCAGAATGAGCCTTACCCCTTTCACTTGTTGACAAATATTTGATTCCCAATAGCTATATTTTCTCGGAATCGACCTTTGTCCATGTTTCTGATTTACTTACTATATCTTTAATTGCCTTATTAGCACCAAGGTGAAGTAGTTTGTTGACGATTGCCTCTGTCTCTTCCATAGGACGCGACTTGTGCATTTTGATTGCAAGGTTAAGGGCTGTATCATCCTCCTAATCATGAAAAAGATGAGTCTTGTTTTAGTACCATCAACTATTTACCATTTGGAATTGCATTCAGTTCTGCATCGATCACGATGGAGGTCATTTAGAGCATGTAATTTAAATTTCAAATTTCTCATTTTTTCAATTTCTAACTGCTTACTTTTCATGAACCTTCTTTATCTTCTAAAAGGCTCATCAAAAAAGATTCATGGGGTCATTAATAATGAAAAAGGATTTCCGAATCAATCGACCTTGATACTTACATGGTCTCGAAGGTTAACATCGGCACCACCTTCCAAAAGAATTGTAATAAAATCAATACGATCTGTTGGACAATGAGTTACAGCATAATGAATAGCACCAGCACCATTCTGAAATTAATTAAAAGTACAGAATGAGTGAAAAATCTTTATAAAACAAAATATTTAAAATTGTAAATGTGTTTTGACAGTCAAAGTACCTACCTCATTGATAAAATCAGGATTCGCCCCACTTTGGATGTACGCATTGGTATCTTCCTTATTTCCAGTTATAACCGCTCTGGTCAGTTTATCCTATAGAAGATTATATTTTTTGTAGACACTATTTCGTTGCAATTATCTGACAATTGATACATTTATTTTAGGTACACGATTTAATGATTTATGGGTGATTTAATGCACTCGTGGTCTGTATCCCAGATTTTGTGGTTTGACTATTGTTGCCATTTGCATTCGTTCGACTTAAAAAGAGAGCTTCATCTTCAGATTATAACTAGACTCTGTGCGTAAGGTAGACTATTGCCCTCATTGAAAGTCTCCATACACGACATCGTGCTTAAAATCATCCATTGAGCCATGATGGTCAATTCTTTTTTGGTGTGAATGCTGTGGACAGTGATATCTTGATATGATCAATGGTCCAGTTGTTTCTTTCCTGGATAGAAATGCAATATTTCATTGTCAAAGGTTCAATTTCGTTACGTATGATGGCAACAGGATGGTACAAAGGCCTGTGGCAGATCGTTTGGTACAACTCTTTGGAAATCAGAAGATAGCATTAAATTACCCAATTGATTGGCCCCTAGGGTCATCCCACTTTACACCCTTGATTTTTTGAAGGGCCTCTGAAAGCGCTTTACAGCATCACAAACTAACCTACATGAACTTCTACAAAAATAATTGATGAAATCAGTGTGATATTACAATGCATGTTCGCATGGGCAAGGGTGCCTCAAATCCTCAGATTTCCTTTCACATTCAACATGTTGAGAGGACCACATGTTTATGCGGATAGACCCAATGACCATATGTAAGACAAATAAGAAAATTACAGAATGACCGATCAGTTGAAGGTCAAGCTTCTGCTCAGAAGAAAGTTAAATGTTAAAGAAACTGTTCCTCTTTTGTCATTTGGTCCATCCAATCATTTAGAAGTTGGCGCAAGTCAGATTTTACTATGGGACACTAAAGGCTGTCCTGTGGAGCCAATCAAGGACAAATTTTGAGTCTGATGGTGTCAAATTATTCGAGAAAGAGTTGTCTTTTGGTATCCAAAGTATATTTTAGGGGAAAAGTCAAAATTATTGAAGATATTGAATTTTTTGTAAGTGTAACATTTTTTGAGACACTCTGTAGAACGTGGCTCATAATGCTAAAAGCACAGCCACTTACACTGTATTATTGTATTGTATTATTTGTACAAATGAATAACTTAATAAAAAAATTAAATCCTTTAGTAAAACCCATACTCAAAATTATTTAAAACCGTACCCTCGCTCGCACTTTACTTTACCTCACTCTTTACAGTCGTCATTAGTCAGCTAACTTATATTTCTTAACGTGAAAAAGACCGTTATCAATCAAAATATTGTACACGGGACGGTAGTGCCCAAATAAAATGAGATGGCAATAGGTTATTATACCCCTAAATTTGCAGCCGATGCATTCTTTTTCATGTCCTCAAGGTCGGCTGTATCTGGTCGAGAGTTTGCTCTGACATCCGGGCAAATAATATCAGCTAAAGCTCCTTTATCCTTGGAAATGGCATAGTCGTACGCTGTCCTAAGTTTCTAAATAAATAGTTGTGTCCATAAGAAATGCAATAATTTGTCTTTATTTATTTATATCGTGCATTCAACAGTTCGCACCATTTTATCGGATGCTTTGTACAATGAGTGCACTAAGGTAGCAACCAAAGTTTTCACAACTGAATAGCAAATCAAAGCAGCAGCTCCTCAATGTTTGAATCTCAATATTGTTACAATAGTTGGAAATGATAATAAATTTATTGATCAATTCAGATCTATAATCTTGCTTCAGGACTGTGGAACACCCCCCCCCCCCTCCCCTTCTACTTCACCATCACAATGCGTGGTCGTGGAATTTGGAAGGGAGAGAATGTACATAAAAAGGTCATAAACAATGATAAACGTACCCTGTCTCTCAGGGATGAATCCGCCTTCAACAGCAAGAGAGTGAGCGCAACATCTGCAGCCTGTCTTGTTTCTATAAGCCTTGCAAGAAGATGCAGACACGTTTCTCCCTCGCCCAAAGTTATAGCATTAACATCAGCACCTCTACCTACGAGCAGATTTGTGACACTACAGGCAAGATGATCTGGGCGTTGTACTGCAATGTGTAGTGGGGTGAATCCGTCCTAGTTTGAAGAGAAAATACAGCATTGATATATAAGATACTTGTCAGAAAGCATGGTGCTTTAATAATTTTCTCACGGAAGGTCAACTTTAAATTACACCCCAAGCAGCATTAAGTTTTTAGAATGATCTCATTATTTGTTTTAGTTGAGCCAGACTGCCTTGGGCTTCAAAGGTAAACACTGACATCATATCACTAGTGATGCTATGGTACCACAGATTTCACATTATATACTGATTCTGTCAAGCCAATATATAAAATTGAACTTGCAAAAACAGGGCGTTCTCTCTACCATTGTGTAGTATTTGGAGGAATTTCGTCCGGTGTAACACTCTAACTCACTTCATTGTATCTGTTGACATCTTCACCAGCGTCTAGTAATGAGATGATTTCTCGCTCTGAACCATAGAAGCATGTCTCATGTAAACTGGTATCAGAAACGGGTTCCTGTAATTGCCAATAAGCAAATATAAGTTAGGGGAGCATATGTCTTAGCAACTACATTGCGTGATTGTATAGAAGAACACTCAACTAATTAGAAGTAGAGTAATCAACTTTATGTTGACAAGTTTTTGTGATTTTCTTATAAAAATTACTTGAGGCCGAACTACCAAACAAAATGGTATGTGAATGGTATATTTCATTTTCATAGTGTGTGATGTTTGACAGTTTTAGTCATTGAAATGACTTATATAATGTTGAACCCCTATCATTAATTTGTTTCAGATACATTTTCATTTATCTCATCACGGTGCGTTGATTGCACTGATTTTGGAGACGAAATCAGTTCATTTACGTAAGATACACGTCATAAATATGGTCCTTAGCCATTCAAATTAAAATCTATCTTGCTTTTCCCATTTATAATCCTAATCTAGAATTTATTCAACTTGATCTTGAAGTCTGGTTTAGAAGTACATGTAAGTATTGCTACATATTTTTATTTTGATAAAGAAGTATAGTTACCATTTATGTTTAAATTCCTTTAAATCCAAACGACACTAGATCACTCTCTCATGACACTTCGACACATGGGTTTGTTTGTGTAAAGACACTTCAATCAAACCCAGATACTCAGCCATAAAACGAGTTGCACATAGCTGGACAGTTTTGTTCGATCAAATAAAAGTTCGTGAGATTAGAAAAGCCGAGTGTATCACTTTTGCGTCCAACATGTTGTTACTGGAATATTCAACTTTAGTTTCTGCCCTTGGTCTGTTGGTTAATCCATGGTTTCATTCGATTTTTGTTATCAAACAGACCACAAATTCATATACATATTAATCCACATGAATGATATTTCTTAAATCCTGCTTTCACTTTCAAAACATCTAGATACCATTGTGATTTTGTATTAGGATTTGCCAATGACCATAAATATAAATATACCTAAGCATTGGTAAATACTTATGATAGGATTAGCAATACAAAGAGATTAATGGGTATTTAGAATCTTGGTATAGCAATCGACGTTTTCTTGAACTGCCGAATCAATCAATTATTTGCCTAATTATTGGAAACACGTATATCAATTATTCATATTTAATTACGATTTAAATGATTCAAACTCCACTTGTACTCAAGAAGAAGTCAGTACATTATTAACAGATGCATGGGTAAGGGCAAGTGCAGAAAAAGCAGTTCCCAATGTCAATGACCTAAAGAAAAAGATGTCCTCTGCCACCCAGCCTCCTCCAGCTACTTAGTAACTGATAACAATTTGTAAAATATCAAGAAATACGGTAACCAGATCTAATGAAAGCTATTACATTTATCTGCAGCTTCTAGGTTGACTAAGATACATCACATAGGCGTTCGTTTGCAACTAATACAATACATCTCAATAAAACTGACCAAAATAATGACGAACTTATTTTGCCTGTTATTTTTGCATGAATTCAAAGGCTTTTCCTTAGGAGTTTCTTCAAAGCATGTCTAGGATTTCTCCATTTGCATTAGTATCATAGATATTCTTTTCACCTAATTCTTTTCAAATTCGTATAATCTTTCACACGACTATTCTCCTTTTTAACATTCTAGGCATTGATAACGTTTATGAATATCTAAAATCGCCATTAAAGATCAACAAACAGTATGTTACATAATACATGAAATAACATATTATATAAAATGCCTTGGTTCACCCCATGATTTCTGGAACAAATAAAATATGCGTGTTAAAGTTTATTATCCAAAACGGTGAAAGAAAAATACCAGTTTACAATTAAAATAATCTTCTAATTTGTGAGTGTTTGAAAAAGTGCTTGAATTCTTTGTGTATTCAAAATAATTTTCCAATTACCCAGATGCGAGTAGAAATAATCTTGATTTACGTCATTAAAATTTAAAAATTCAGTCAAAGTAATATCATATTTGAAATCTACATGTAAAATTACATCTAGAAATGTGGTTTTAAAAAGTGTTTATCAACTTTGGAAAATTAATTTTCTCTGAAAATGTGACTTCTAGCTCGGGGAGATTCCCCATAGACCCCATGCTGCAAAATCACAAAAAATGAAATATCTTTTCTTTTAGTGGACAGATAATATTTTGCTTTACTGGACATATTTTCATTAGTATAAGTATCAGACACATAAGGGTTATATGAAAATTGAGCCACTTAAATTGATAATATTCAAGTTTAAAGGAACTTTTTTACATACCTGCCATGTTAATTGACCCGAATCAGCTACCTGGTGGTGAAACTGGTAACTACCTACTCGCATTTGGGTAATTGATCAAAATTAATGTCATCGCATAATAAAAACATTGTATATTCCTAAAGATAAATTCGTTATGCACATATCTCCTGTCTTAGACTTTCTATTTGATTTCCAAGACTGTTAAAATCAATAACTGTCCGCACATTTTCGTCAGTTGGGGAACTGGCTAGTTCCTTAAGTTTATCAGCGTTAATATTCGGGCCAACACCTATAGTTTTTATTTGTATTCCATTGGCTTTAGCAGTGTCGGCTTGGCTGCGTTCTTCCCCCTTGCGTACTCTAGGAACGCCATCTGTCACAATGATGAGAAGATTGTCGGCATTTATCCTGTCGCCGTTTTGAGGAGAGAACATTGTTCTTGCCAATTCAATACCCCCAGCAGTATTGGTAGCTCCTGTGAATCCAAACAATTTCATATATTTGAATATTTCTTACGTTTCACAATGAATTTGGTACAATTATATAACTATATTAATTATATAATTACATAGGCCTATAAGGTCACATAAAAACAGAACGCTTTTTAATTGCAAGTGACGATTCACTAAACCAAGTAAAATACTTTGGCTTACCTTTCGTATATTGTATAGAACTAATTGCATTTAAAATCTCCGATCTCTTTTCGTATGTGTTCAAATGAAACTCTAGTACCGCATCGTCGGCGAAAGTAGCAACGCCAACTTGATAGAGCCCATTGTGAATTTCCAGACTGTCTACGAGATCGTGTACAAAATCTGTGACCTTCTTGAAATTGTCTTCTCCAATACTACCAGAGCTATCGACTAGGATAACAACGTCCTTCTCGCCATTGCACGTGAGTGAGCACGTAGGACCAGAACGTCCATTTGGGCAGACACACTCGAAGGAGTTCACTTTGTCAATGCATTGCCCTCCAGCTTGACATGGAACCGATGTGCAATCATCCGTATCTGAAAGGTAGCAGTTCCAAAAATTGAATCAAGATGTCTTGTTCCCAGAATTAAAATTATTCCTAGTATGTATCTTACTGTCCCTGTGGCATGTCCAAACATAAACTAACGAAAAATCCTTAATCAGGTCCATTCACTATTTAAGAGGTTATAATTACTAGCTAGAAAATAAAAGAACATCTCGTTCACACAGAACTAGCTACTCAAGAACTCGGATTGTCTGGTGAGATCCCAGGGTTAGATCGGAAATTCTCATATGGGTTTATTCTGGTCAGTCACATGACTGACATTGGCTCGCATGCATTACATGAATCAGGAATGACCTGTTAAGGAGATAATACTCATCACACGGTTCTGAAAATAACGACATGTTTAGCGTAGTTCTCTAATGTTCCAATACTGACTTACCAAAACAAGTCATTGTTAGCATATCCGCCTCTAAGAGTCTCAAGTTGAAGAAATTTTCAACAATTAAGGCGTTGTCGGCATCTGGATCCGTAGCCATACCACGTATCTCGCTTGGTTTCAGTTCATTGCCGACACCAATAGCAACAATGTGCGCGCCAGAGTTCTTGAGAAGATTCGCTTGTGGTAATGTGTCGTATGAGGAGACTGTGGACGCTCCGTCGGTAATCAGTACGACGACATTCGGAACTGAGGCCCTGTCACCGTTAACTTCTTTGAATATGTCAAGTCTGATAAGCTGCAACGCTTCTGCGATGTTAGTTGCGCCACCTAGAAATAAATCATACTTGAACTTGTATGCACCAAACAGGATCTTAAGAGGTTCTGGACAAATCATTTGATTCTGGACTTGTCATATTTTTTTTCAACGAAATCACATCCAAGGGTTGAATTTTTATTAGCTATTTAGAGAGTGAGTCCTGCCTAGTATTAATTTCAATAAAAAAAGTTAAAATAGAACCCTATTTGAGAGTCAATCTAATACTTACATTACATTGATAAATTAAGGCAAATCCTGAAATATTTTTAAAGTGCGTTTTTTAATGAAATATTATCCAGCAAGTATTTAAATGAAACGGTCTTATTTAAATACAAATCATAACATGATATTTTTCATGAAGCATTTTTCAATGAAATTCAATTGAAGGGTCAAGATAAAACGAGCTAATTTAGGTGAAAACCCTTACATGATGATGTGTTTTCATAACTTCTTTCATAAAATTCCATCAAGGGGTGAAGATAAAATGATCGAATTTAAGTGATTTAAGGATCACGAGAATATGTTTTCTTTGATATTTTCTATGAAATCCCATCCAATGGTCAAGGTAAAATTTTGATTTTGATTTTGATTTGGTCACTTGTTCGAAAGATCCATATAAGGCCCATAGAACCATATAGGAACGTCATTTTGAATGTCACGTGATAGATCCATATAAGGCTTTTAGAACCATTTATGGAAAGATGAGGGAAGCCCCTGACACCTGTTTCACGATTTCTATGCACTTCATTATTGTACCGAAGTTTGCCGATTCGATTCGTCGTATTTCGGAATCCTGGTGACAATTTTATACTCCATTGGAGTATTTTTGACCTACTTCTTATGACGGAAATTCCCGAACCTTGTTCGGATTAATCCGGATTTTCTGACCTACTTTATCTACCGAGATTTCACGAGTTAACATTCTAGGCCAAGCAAATGGGCTCATAAAAGGCCCAAACATCCCAAAAATTGCAACAGTTTTTAAATTAGTCTTATATTATGTATTAATATCAGTTGAAAAACATATCAAAAATATAGAAAAATGTATGCAGTGGACAAATATGAAATTTCACTTCCTAGGTACCCCCTACAACCCTACCCCAAAATTGAGTATTGGTAGGAAACAATTTTTTCTTCCCAAATTGAATACTTTAGTCAAGTATTCAAGCTTTATTATGATAGATCACATATTCACAAATAATTAAAATATTATTTTAATCAATTTTGAGACCAGTAATTGGTCATTTGACCCCAAAGTATAACAAAATAGGCCACAAAACAGGCATGTTATCACATATCTATTTAGATATTTTAGGATCAGTTTGTCAGAAAAGCATGAAAAAAATCATGGTGTTACATATTCATATGAACTTCATATTTGGTGAGTGTCAGAATTCTAAGGTGTATACTTAGGAAGAAAAAAATTATTTCATTTTCATAGTTTTGCCCCGGCCACTATAGGGGAGACTATAGTTTTGATGATTAACTCCCACAATGCATCACATTTGTATTAGAGTTGACATCTAAATCATTTATATAGGCTTGTCATCATCTAAAATACAAGTTTTGTGAAGGTTTATACCTTATTAGTATGAAAAATAGGAATTATTAGTTGCACCAGGTGAAATGTTAAGGTGACCTCACTTTTATTTGATGAATAATTACATGTCACCACTCTGATATTAGGGTATTTGATAACTGCTCTCACGTAGTTTTTGTGGAATTTAATATTGTTTAAATTATTAATTACAATCCGCAATTACAAAATTTGCATATATTTAAATTCATCAGATAAATAAATCATTACATAAGAGTACATTACTATGGAACTATCAATTGAATGTATAATGCTGTAGAAACGAATTTATGGTTATTAAACGGAATTTAAACTGACAGAGAACATTAAAATCTCAGATATCTGGGGAGTCTTTCATTAATATAATTTCAGTGCATAGGAATGATGGTAATTCTGTCCGTCAGGTTGGAAAACATTGAGTGTACATATAAATGAAATAAGATTGTCTTTGGGAAAAGTGGTGTGTGACAATATTTTGTTTCTTTTCTGGGGTGTGACATCGCATTCCGGTTATATATGGCATAGACAAGAGGCTATCATTGAGGCAGATAAAAAAGAGTGAGTTCTTGAGAAAACAAGCGGTTGTTTTTAAATTACCAAAAGCACTGGTGATCCGCTCGATTTTGCTTGTCGTTTCGGTAACAAAATGTCTAAACGTCGAAAGTACGATATTTCTTTTTTCCTTGTTTTTCACGCGTTGTAGGCAGAATCCCCACGATGTTTTTTTCTCACTGAATTGTTGATTTAATTCCTTACTTAAGTTAAATAAACGGTTTGGGTTAAAAGTGCAGATCTTAATTGTTTATCGAAATACCGTTTATGTAACTTAAGTGAGGAATTGAATCGAAGATTCTGTTGTCTTCTGAACTATTTGTTCGCAAATATGTACATTTTTTAAACATATAACACTGATACATGTTTGTGATAACAATGTTGTGGGAATTCTGCCTACAATGTGTGAAATAAAGATTAAAGAAAAATCAAACCTTCGATGTTCCGACATTTTGTTACAACGTAAACAAGTAGAAAACCAATGAAATGCAAGCAACTCTGTCATTGCAGAGGAACATGCTCTTTTGCAATTTATGGTGGAAAAATGGTGAAACCCTAAATTATCTTAGGCTTCTAAAATTCTATTAAAAGAGAGCAGCAAGATCTGAATTATTGCAGCCCCGTGTTCTTCCTCCATTTTCTGATGCTGCGGAATACCACAGTTACAGAGTGTACCATCAGATCCAGGAGTGGGAGGGAAATAAACTGCCTCCATTATAATTGGGCTGGGAAATAAGCAACGAAACTATGTACCAATTGCCTAAATGCAGCTCCCCTTTCTCAGAGATCATCCATTGTGTGTGTAAGGCAGATTGTATTTCTATGAGATGTTCTTGTAGAAAAATGAAATAACTGTTCTTTGACATGTAAGGTATGCAAAGGCATTTGTGCAAATACCTCCATTACTGATCATGAGAATAATGATGACTAAATAATGAACACTGGCAGATCTGGGCCCCTCCCACCCCCTTGGGCGGGCCCAGAAAAAAAATTTGGGCCCAAAAAAGGCCTTAAGGCACCGAAAAGTGGGCCTTTTTGGTCATAAATGGGCCTTTTAAAGCCTTATTTTTTAATTGAAGAAAATGGGTCTCAATATTTCAAAATTTGGGCCCACTTCAGGGTTTTAGGGGCCCAAAATTTTTTCCACGGAAGTTTTTTTCTCAGACCTGACATTTGCCCCCCCCCCCTTGTTGATTGCCATTTCCGCCCCTGATGAAGGCTAGTGATAGACAAGGTTGTAACTGATTGTTGTTACAACATAATAGTATTAAGCTTATTTAATCAGCATTCTTTTTTGCTCTCTATAAGTAAGACACATATATGAAGGTTAAGATTACAAAATTAAGGCAGCATTTTTGATAATGAACATAACATAATCGAACCAGGCCCTGTATAAAGACCAGGGATTTACTTTGCGTTACACTCGTTAACTCAGGAGGATTTATTAATGTAGAAACCTTTTCCTCATTTTTTATTGAATTTCATCTTGAAATCGAACATTATTCAGTGGAACTTCTTCATTTCATTTCTCAATATCACTGTGTGGTTAAGAACACCTTAGTCAAAAGTAACTATTTTTCCTTAATACAGGGCGAGCCAAAAAGGTAACCCAAACAAATCTTAATAATCCAGTCCAATCATCCTGCATGGATTTAGTGTCATATTTGGCAGAATTGAGTCTTGGTCAATGTATTATCAATCTACCCAGTCTCAGTGGTCTCTAGTGATCACGATTTTATGGCCATTTTATACCATGCCATGAAGTATGGGTGTCATGCCTGGAGGCCAACTTGAACGTATCGTGCGTTGTTGTTCAAATCAGGAGCATAAAAATCATGTGTTATGACTCTCATCTTCATTCTTATCTCTTGTTTTAATGTTTCAAGTGTTGTTAGTATCGAAAAAAGGTCCACAGATAAAAAAAAAACTGGTGGTATTGATGTCCAGTCAGTTAGGCACATGTCGATATTTTGAGCACATTTTGTAAATGGCCATAAAATCGTGACTATTAAGGATAGATCAATGACACTTAGTAGAATGAAAGAACATTGAACAAGGTAATTGTGCCAAATATGATGTCAAACCCATGCTGAATGACTGGGTTATTAACAAACAATTGGTTGAGTTACCTTTTTTGGCTCATATTAATAAACTGATGTCAGGGACAGGGATATTTAACATTTTGTTGCCTTTTCAAGGACATTTTTGACCACTGATTGTAACAAATCGTTCTCTGTTTTACCAGAAAAGGTATATTACGAGGGGTGATCAGGAATTTCTGGACCGTTGGCTCTATTTTTGCCATTTGTTATCCTTTCTGAGTGATTTCTTTACACAATATAACCCAAATATATAGGCTCACACCATGAAGATTTCACTGCTCTATGAAATCATTATCCTTTTATTTTTATTACCACGCTAACCGGTGACGCGACAAGGTGGAGCTCAGAAAAAATACCAAATTTGAAAAATCAACAGTAGTTTTATATGATATTTGGACACTGTATTCATTGCTGAATATGTTACCTACTGTAATAGGTTGTATTATATTATTAAGTATTCATTAATGTTCATAGTAACTGCCATTATTTCCATTAATTCTAATCCTTTAAAGTAGTTACCAGCATTTTGTAAGCAATTGTTATGCCTTTTCACTCAGTCCTGAAAGACGCGATACAGACCGTCTTTGCCTAAAAAATGTGATTGTATCCATCGGTTTTGGCCTTGTACCACATGCACCGTATTCCCCAGAATTAGCTGGGTGTGATTTCTATTTTTCCCAACAGTGAAGAACAAATTATGAGGTATCCACTTTGAGGACAGTAATGAAATCATTCAGGAATTCACGCACCAATGTTACAAAGTAGGCAAAGACGGTCTGTG